GCACAAATATTCACAGGAGAAAAAAAATCTATATTTATAAAGAAGTTACATGGTCCTACGACACTGGACTACCACGTGCGGAACCCAGATCCTAGACGTTTCATCCGCAAAACACAGTCAATTCACTTTACGGTATATTCTGTGAAGGTATTTTGAGGCATCTCGAAGACGCGCTATATCAAATGCAAGGATTATTATTATCATTACTGTTTCAAAGGTTACAGTGGGGGCTGTTAAGAAGCACATATTTTCCCCGGGAGCAAGTGCGAACCCGCAACTCTGAACATTCACGCCTGGGATTTGGTGAAATCCGCAACGTGAATGAACAGAAGGTGAGAGAGCAGGCGGGGCAAGAGATGACGGGGGAGGTGGGGTGAGGGTTGGAGGATCAGGCAGAGAGTGAGGCCTGCCCTCAAGCCGATAGCCACAAGCGCCCACCGTGTTGTCTCTTGCCACGAGCTGGTGACGGAGTATTGCTGGTCGGGGAGCACCAGTGGCACCTCCTGGCGCTGAGGTCAATCCACAGCTTTTTATCATAGCAACACCGCTTCCCACTGCACTGAGTGCCAGTTGGCAATGAATCTCACATGTGGCACAGGCTGGCAGTGTCAGCCCACAGCCTGGAGATCGGGAGAGATCCAGAAGCACAGCACAGAGAGGGGAAGTGGAGGGTGTTAACCCATTCTCAGGCCCTGTGCGCTGACGGCAGCTGAGGCGACAGACACTCACCCAATTCTTTCACTGTCACTTTCCCTGACGTTGGAATTATATTATTAAATACTTGTGGATTCTCGTTCGCCACATGTGAAAACTCAAGCGCCCCCAATGCCCTTCTCTGACCTTAGGGCATGAAGCCCCAATGCCAAATTGAAGCCGGGTAATTATCTCCATGCAATAGGTTTAAACCTAAACATCACCAAATTCAGAGAAAGGAGTATAGCTGTTCCCCCCACCAACCACACCACACCACTCCCACCTCAATACAGTGACCCCCTTCAGCTTTTCCGGGGGCACATGCCTGACATAGGGCACACACATCCAGCATTGGCGACACTCCTCGTACAAAGGCACATGCCTGGCACACGACTGACACAGCACCCAGTAGATAGTGATTGACAATCAGCCTTTAAGGTGATAACTCCAATTGGAAGTGAGATACTTGTCCACCTGCACTGCCAAAGCTGTCTTTTCCCTCAATGACTTCTACTGGGCACCTCTGCTGGTCAGAACACACTCACTCCAAAGAGATGGAGGAAACACCTGCTGTGTATTGCTAAGAAAAAACATTCCACAAGACAACCCTGGACGTCCTCCCGACGTGAAAAGCGCTCTATAAATTTAATTTTGTTGTTGTTGTTGCTTCCCCCCACCACCACCACCACCACCACCGAGCAGAGGGTGGGGTTCAACTGGATCTGAGTCAAAAACTCTTCACTTATTTACCACTCCCAGTTGTTCACTGGAGAGTCCCTTTTGCAGGTTGGTGAGGGGTTGGGGGGGGGGGGGGGCGCGGCCGCGGTCGCTGACTGCAGTCACGAAGAGCCTTTCTCTGATGGCATTTTACTGCTGACTTAACTCGTAATCTGCTGCTGTCAAAGGTGCTTCCAATCAGCTGATAGCTCATTGTTCAAAGCAGCCTGTGATTGATGGAAGATTGGTAAAGGCAACCATACCCCATAGCCCAATCCTGTTCCTCCCAAATTCATCCCCTGGTCCTATTCTACAATTACATTGTCTACAAGAGCCTCCCCGAGGCCCCATTAATTAAAAATACATCCAATTAAATGCCAGGTGAAAATGTGCCATTTCCGCTTTTTCTTTGGCTCAGCTGTGCGCTGGTTGAGTCTGAATCGCGGCCAGACTTGCTCACCAGGCTGCTTCTGCTGCTGCAGTCGCATTGTGTCTCGTCCCTGCATTTGTTCATTGTACTTATTACATTTCTCAGCTGCGTCCCGCAGCTTCATCAGCGCCAAAGATCCCCGGAATGGGATAAAAGATTCAGCTCATTACACCAGCATCTCACACCTTGTACACACAGCGGCACACGCGCGCACACACCCATTGTGAGTTATTCTGCTGGCGTACACAAAAGCAATATCACCATCATTGGTTGCACAACCCCCAGTGTACTGCACAAAATCGCAGTAGAGTGCAGTCCTGTGGTGTAGTGGTTAGAGCACTCGCCTCGCAAGCGAGAGGAATTGGGTTTGTTTCCCTTACTCCACTGCTTATGTCTCTGTTTATGTAGTAGTAAGTAGGAATCTGTTTATTAGTCAATTGGCAGATCGCTTTGGGGGGTCTAAACTCAACTATTTGCCTTGTTTATTGCTCCCTTACCTGTGGTGAGCAATGAGTCCAACTAACACCTCTACGTTTCTTTCAACTGCACCCCCACACGCGCCCCCAGCCAGCAAGTTCTGTCCAACCCATCAATGGAAAAAATAATCCCAACATTTGACACTGCGCCTTTCACGTCAGGAGGACGGTCCCAAAGAGCTTCACAGATGTACTATAAAGTACAGTGCCGGTGTTTTGTGAGGGAATGTGTCAGCCAACTTGCGCACAGCAATGTCCCACAAACAGCCATGGAGTGGGTGAGCCGTTTTATTTTGGGTGACTGTTCATTTGGACCATTATAAAATTCCCCAAAGCAGCTGTGATTCAATTTACTTGGGATATTGCCGTCGCTGACCGTTTAGCCTTTGTGTTAAGGTGAAGCCATGAGAATTTTCGGGGGAAAATTACGACGGCAAATTCTTGAACAGGAACTCAAATGTTTATCCGGAAAATGTAAGGAATGGCACGAACTTCGGACAACAGCGCCCTCCTGTGTACATTTAACTGCATCAATAGTACCACCACAACTCAGCCAAACACAGGAAGACTTTCATAAGAAAGCCCCGTTTGCCACCAGTGGTCAGACATCGTCAAACATAGCAACTTATTCTTACTACATCTGAGCAGGTTAAAGAGGGACCTTACTGAAGTCAAGTCTAAAAGAAAAATTTAAAAGTTTAAAAATGTCAAGGTTTTTAAAAAAAAGTTTTAATATTACCCCCCCACCNTCGGAAAGCAATCCACCAATCAACTAAGAACCAGGTTCCTACTTACTGCTCGGTAAACAAAGGCGCATAGAGTAAGAAAACTTGCCTAAGGTTTCACCCTGCATGGGAATTCAAACCAGGTCCTCTCGCTTGCCAGGCGAGTGCTCTAAACCAATTTGTTACAAGACTCCACACGCTATCACCCTCTTGGGTTCACAGGCAGCCCGGGTATAATGCCAGACTGCAAAGGGTTTCTGAGCTATACAAAATTACATTTGTATAATGCCTTTCACCTCGGGAGAATGTCCCAAAGCACTAGAACATGCCACACACGCAAGGATTGATCTCAACGAAGAATTTCCAGAGTTCTCTCCCAGGCTGTGACCCTGTGTTTTGAAAGTGTAAAACACGAGAAGGTACCAAAGCAGTGGCTTCAGGTACACATTCCGTCCCAAGACGTATCTCTTTGACCATGTTTTCAATCATCTTTCCCCCTTCCTACCCGCAGCTCAGGTGCCTAGTAGGTACTGTTAGACACTTTGGGACGTCCTCCCGATGTGAAAGGAGCTGTATAAATGCAAATTTATACTGTATGTTTACAGTAGAATATGAAAGGAAAGAAAGCAGGCTGTGAATGAGACCAGAGGAATCCTGGAATCCAGATGCTAATAGAGAGATACACCGGATCCAGAGCACTGACCCTCAGAAGAGACTGTCAGAACAACAACTTGCATTTGTATAGCACCCTTCACATGGGGTAGCGTCCCGGAGTGCTTCGCAGTGTCGGGAGTCTGACAACGAGCCAAGGGAAGAGGGTAGGGGGAGGTGACCATAAGCACGATCAAAAAGGTCTTTAGGCAGGATTTGAAGGTGGGGAGTGGGCAAGGCGGAGGGATCGGGGGAGAGAGTTCCAGAAGAGAGGGGAGGGAAGGACGGGTAAAGCAGAGTTTCTTTGGAGCTGAAGTTTGCTCCAAGGTAGCATGGCAGCAACACTCCAATACACACACCAGGCTCTCCAAGGCTTGGCTGTTATCAACCTGCACCTAAACTCTTACAGGATTACCGAAAAGCATATGTCCCTTTCGGAACACAGTACTTCATACCAGAAAAACAGAAACCATACATATGTGGAACTTTCAGTCTGTTGTTTTAGTGTTTAACCAAGGTGATAAGTTCCCATATTTGCAAGACACCTGGCTGACTAAAAAAAAAGGGGGGTGGGGGGGGGAGAGAGAGGAAGAGTGAGAGACATCATGTGTAAAGCTCTGACAAGAAGAGATAGATACAGTACATGTAGAGCAATTACCAGCAAAGAGGGAGGGAGACTCTTGTGTGTAAAGCTGACCAGCAAGAGACATGCATAGCATGTAGAGATATATCATGTGTACAGAGGTAACACACGGATACTTATGACCAGCAGGAAAGAGAGAGAGAGAGACACTTCCTGAACACACTCACCAGTTGGGAGGAGGGCATACCTGGGCAGACAGACGAGAACGCTGCTCAGGTTTGGCCGAGTTGCCGTAACCTAGAAATAACAGATGGCACCGAGGCTCAAATGCCACAGAAATGAAGAGGAAATGGTCTGGGGTTTGAAACTTTTATGGTAATAAACAGATTATGATACAAACCAGGCTGATAAGCAGATTCCAGTGTATTTATCTGACAGCAGGGTTGCTAATAATCTTTCCACGTAGCGGATTATTCTACATAGTATTCAGGCTCTATCTCAGCCCACTCCAATCCCCAGCGACCGCTTCATCTCTGATATGCCAATATGGCTGTATTTGCTCCCATGTATCAATCTCAGTACAATCCTGTACATTTCCAAGTTCATTAACGTGTGTACACTGCTTACGTTTCTATGGCCAATCTCCTGAACAGTGTAACTTCTCAATTAAACCTTCCTCGCCCTAACAAAAGGACCTCTCGGGAGGGTGGGGGGTGGGGGGGGGGGTGGGCAGAGGGAGGGAGGGGAGGTCAGATGTCACAGGCAGTCCCCACACATCAAACAGCCCCTCCTGTCAGTCAGCAGTACCCATATGGCCAGCAATGGAGGTGTGTGTGGCCATTGGATTTCTCAGCCCTGCCAAAGATAATCACAGCTCGTTCTCCAAAGACAATGTAGTAAGAAGCCACTAGGGTCAGTAAGGGACGCCTCTCCCTCTGCCACCTCTGTTGGGCATTCTACCGTGTGCCCTGGTGTAGCTCGAGCCGCGCGTCGTTGCGCTCCAGCTGTGTCCTGCCATGCTGCCGGGCCCCAGCACAGGACCAGCGTAGCTGTAATTCTGCGACTTGCCGTCCGCTGAGCCCACAGACATCGCGCTGTTGCTGCCCTCTGGGTTTCCTGCGAGTCCTGCCCCGGTCACCAGAGATGGCAGCGTAACTCTGCCGAAGCTGAAACGGTGGTCCTGATCGGCTGTAAACTGCATTGTGCTCATGTCCTGGTATGTGCCGGCCTCCGCAAACTCGCTCCTCGTGCCCGACACTGTCCGCGACTGCGAGGTAGCGCCGCACATCACAGACTTCGTGTCCAGCAGCGCGAGACCAGAGGCCTCAGTGTCCCTCCTCTCGCTCGCGCTGAGATTATTCCTGTAACCATCGGCACTGTAGCTGTTGGGTGGATGTGAGCTGTACTCTGATGCCCGGGCAGGTCTCTCGTGCTCCTGGACTTCCTCCTTACTGAGTAACTGCAGGAGAGCAGCTTTGACCCCTGCATTGGGGTCTTTGGTAGAGGGACTGGCTTGTATACTGCCCCCGCGACAGTCACTGTCTGCCAACAGAGGGGGTGGTCCAGGTGGCTCTGGTGGCCGCTGGTCAGGAGGAAGAATGCGAGCCTGGTTCAGTGTGGTAGGAGGTGCCTTTGTGTCGGGTTTGCTAACGGAAACTCCATCTGGTCAGAGAGGAAGAGCCAGGTTACTTCAGTGTTATTTTTTACTCTGTATCATTAACAACAAAGTCCACAAACCTTTCTAGATTTAGGGAAACACAGGTCTGGCACAACAACAAACTACATTTACACAGTGCCTTTTACCTAGTGAGACGTGCCAAGGAGCTGGACAGTCAGGAATTTGGACCCGAGCTGGGGGTTGGCATCAAGGCGGGGTGGAAGGCAGGGAGGGTAGAGGTAGGAGGGTGACCGAAGACGCGGTTGGTTAAAGAGGAGGGTCTTGAGATAGGCCTTAAAGGAGGCAAGGGAGGGAGCGAGGCATAGGGACTGTGGGATGGAGATCCAAAGAGTGGAGGCAGAGAGTCTGAAGGCCACACCATCGATGGTGGGGCTGGCGACAGATGTGGAGCAGCCAGACATATGTAGACAGAGATCTACTGTACAGCACAGTATATTACAGTAGAGTTGATTCCCAGTATAAGATGCTTGTTGTAACCCAGCTTCGCTTTGTAATGCAAACCGCGCAAGAGGTGTGGACCTCAACAGTAGTTGACTAGAACTATCCCAAATCCAGCCAGCTTACTTCAAATTGCATTGCCACATTGAAAAGCGGCAGTCCCCTCGCCTGGCACTGTAGTGGCATCACTTGGGGAGTGGTATCACCTGATATACGTGCACACCTGCAAGCCCAGTTATCTGATCACTGGTAACTTTTGGGGGAAACAAAAGGTGAGCTGCAGGTGCGAGCCCCATGTGTGTGGAAACGTGCGTTACCTGTGGTATCGGGCGGGGCAGTGATGCTCTGCAGTCCGTCGCTCGCCTTCAGGCCATTACTTTCTTCAGGAGCAGCGGTGGGCTCCTGAGCTTTGATCAGCTGACTCAGCAAGATGGTCAGCAGGTTCTGGGCGTCGGATTGGGAGGGGTCGGCCACCTCCGACCCAGTCTGAGACTTGTGTGTACCCGTGGATTGAGGGAGGGTGGCCAGGACGTGAGGGAGAGGTGCCAGGGTGGGTGGAGGCGGGGGAGGTGCTGGGGGAAGTGCAGCTGGCAGGGTGGGCACAGGCGTGGTTGGGGCCGAGGGCGGGGGCTGGGTGGGGGCCGGGGCAGGTGGGGGCGGGGGCTGACTAGCTGTCGGGTGCTGTGCCTCCTGCTGTTGCTGACTGGTGGCCTCGGCCAGGGCTACGAGCGATTGACTGAGGACGTTCCACTGCTGCTGTGTCTCTGGGTTGGCACTGACGTTCAGGGCCTGTGCCAGCTGTGTCAGGCTGAGGTTGGTCTGCGTTTGCAGCAGGTTCAGCAGCACCGCCAACTCGTTCTGATTTAGCTGCTGAGCCGCATCCCTGATACCTGCAGGAGACACGGGGGTGAGTGAGCGAGTGAGTGAGCGAGCGAGCGACTAAGTGAGTGAATGAGTGAGCGAGTGAATGAATGAAAGCGGCGGCTTTAGATCAGTGGCTAGCAACGAGAGGGGAATGCACACATACACAGTGAGAAATGTACAATAATCAGCGGGCACAGGCCTAGAGTAAGCAATCTATGCCGATGAATAATTGCAATCTTTATACCCTTCTATTCCCTTCTCCCCCATGTATACATCAAGTCCTCTTTTAAATACATTGATGCTGTTTGCTTCAACCACAGCTTCCAGCAGTTCAGCATTCCCACCACCTTCTGTGAGAAGTATTTCCTCCTAATCTCCCCATTAGATCTATTCCTGGCTAGCTTGAATTTATAACCTCTAGTTTTGCACGTAAACAGCCTATCAACGTCAACCTTATTGAATCCTTTCGTAATCTTAAACACCGCTAACAGGTCCTCTCTCAACGATCACCTCCGGAGAGAAGACTATACCCTGTCCAATATTCTCTATAGCTGTTCCCACTCATTCCATGGCAACATCCTTGTAAACCTATGCTGCCCCCTCTCTCTCTAATGCTACAATATATTTCCTGGAATGCGACCGGAACTGTACGCAACACGCAAATGTGGTCTCGCCAAGGTTTTAAAATAAAATTAACATTACTTCCCGACCGTTTCGCCCACAAAATATACAGTCAAATCACTTAACAGTATATTCTGTAAATCGCTTTTTTTGTGGTGGTTTGAGGATTCACTCACCTCTGACATCAGCGGTGCTGGGCTGGGCTTTGCTCTGGACTGGCTGCACGGCCTGTGGTGTGCTGCTCCTGCTGTCATCGGTGCTGATCACAGTGTCCTTGCGGGACGCCTTCTGTACAGGCGGGTCATCAGTTCCCGCCTGCTTCTGTCGTCGCCGCTTTTTACTCCACAGCTCGTGACAATCCTGCCAATGCGGGAGGCTGAGAAACAAGATGACAACGCCCGGTCAACATTCCCAGAATAAGGACCGCGACCAAGTTACCGGGACACATGACATAAGTCAAGTCAGGGAGCCTGCGGGTTACAGCGATGTGCATAGAGACAACGGTGTGCCTGAGACATGGATTAAAAACAATCGTAGAGAGCCTGCGATTGTTTTTAATCCATGGCTCAGGCACACCGATGTCTCCGTTCACATCGCTGTAACTTGCCCACTTCCATTCACGTGCTGGTTGAAGCACCTCGGCTTTTGATCAGACATACTTTGCTCTCAATGTGCGAATGCCATAGATTTAACACAACCTCTTTGAGAACATCGATGACAGACACTAATGACATGATGCTCTGCTATCAATCGGTCGATGTCCTAGGAGTGAGAATGTAAAGGCCAACAATTCCCTTTAACAACAGCGCAGTCTCTCCAGAGGTGAGGGCAAAATCTATTCACAGAATCAAAAGGGAGGTTCAGAGGAAGAAAGCCGTTCAGCCCATTTGATCTCACCTTTCCAGAATACCTACAAAAATACTAGACTTCACAGTGAACCCTGTGAAGTGCTTTGAGATGTCCTCTCGACGTGAAAGGTGTATATCTTTTGCACATTTGTTTTGCCATCACAAAATAAAGTCAGTTCACTTAAAATATATTCAGTGAAGCGCTTTGAGACGTTTCTGAGATGTGATAAAGTCCTATATCAAATGCAAGCATAATCATTATTATATCAAATGCAAGGATTATTATTATTACTCACCTGGCTTTCTATTACAAAATCAAACTTTTTTTTCTTAAACAAGTCCGTGTCCAGGTCTCAACCCACTTTCTGGGAATCTATTCCAGCTGTGTAAAGAATTGCTTCCTGATGTCTGTCCTAATATTGCTGTACACAACTCTAAACCTATGTCCGCTTGCCCTGCTGCTTTGAATCATTTAAATGTGTGGATGCGATGTACCCGTTATTACTTTCTGTTTACTTTCTTTATCTCGTTCAACATCTGACTCTAGTCCCGTACCAGGCTTCGCGATCACATCACTCCCACCCTCGCTCGCCTCCACTGGCTCCCCATCCCCCAGAGGATTGATTTCAAGATCCTCACCCTCACCTACAAGGCCATTCACGGCCTCGCTCCCTCCTACCTCTCCAACCTACTATCCCCCTACCTACCTGCCCGTACCCTCCGTTCCTCTGGCTCCGGTCTGCTCCACGTCCCCCGCCCCAACCGCCCTACCATCGGTGGTCGGGCCTTCAGCCTCTCAGCCCCCAGGCTCTGGAACTCCATCCCCCAGTGCCTTCGTCGCTTCCTCCCTTTCCTCCTTCAGGCCGGTCTCAAAACCTTTCTCTTTGACCGAGCCTTCAGCTCCCCTCTCGACTCTCTTCCCCTCCTCGCTCCCTCCCTTCCCTCCCCTCACCCTGACCATTTCCCCCTCCTCTCTTCCTCCCTTCCCTCCCCTCACCCTGACCATTTCCCCCCTGCTCGGGTCATGACCCAACTGTGCAGCGCCTTGGGACGTCCTCCTGACGTGAAAGGCGCTCTATAAATGGAATCTTGTTGTTGTTGTTGTTGTTGTTACTGCTTAATGATCTGGACTAAAGGTTCCCTAGGCGCAGAAAGCAACGGTCTGTCATTCCAGTGCATTGCTGGCAGACAGCTGCATTGTCAGAGCTGCCATTCTTCAGAAAACCCATTAAATCAAGGCTGCCTGTTCTCCAGATAGACATGAACAAATCCTAGCTACTATTGGAAGAAAGTAGGCAAAAAANCCTCCAGATTCCTTTGTCTCATATTATTCCTTGCAATTGATAAACTGATATATCAAAACATCTCAAAGTTTACCAATAGCTGTTGTCAAGTGTGTTGGCATTGTATGTGTAGGCAAAGGCAGCCAATTTACATTCAGCAGATCCCACAAACAGCCACAAAGTGATAACCTCATTATTTGGTTGACTGTGGGACCTTGTTGTGCATGAAATATTATGATTATTATTAATAGCTGCTGTGTTTGCATACAAATACAAGGTCACTATACATGATAGCCATTACCTGCGCACACACAGCAGGGAGAGAATGCGTCAGACTACAGTGCAGCGAGAGAGAGTGTGTGTATGTGTGCGCGTGTGCAGGAAGAGGAAGAGAGAGAGAGGTGCTGGACAGATGTGGTACTTTAGTGACAGTAAAACTCCTGATTGAACAAGTTTTTTTNGAGAGAACTGTAGCCAATTTGTATTTGACGTAACGTTCAATCACCTTCATTACCTGCTTATCCGAAATGGGGCCACTCGCAAACTAATACAGGGACTCAGCTCGAAGATATTCCAAACACTCAGCATGCAGGGTCACTCAAGCTCAGTCACTACCCCTCCCACACCTACTCCCCACCTCCCCCCCACCTACTTACTCAGGAGGTGGCATCTTGGCGGGGTCTACATGGCTGAGGAAGTGGCTGTGCAGGGCTTGCTCCGCAGTGCATCGCTTGCTTGGGTCCAAAGTCAACATGTGATCCAACAACTCCAGCGCCGGCGAAGGAATGCTGAGAAGATGGAACAGGGTCAGTGTCACACACTCACCTGCAGCTCAGCACCAGGAGGAGCGGGAGCAATGTTAGGAACAGCTTCAGTGTCACTCACTTGTAGCACAGCAGCAGGGGGAGGGGGGGGTGGAGAAAGCTGGGAATAGCATCAGTCTCACCTCACCAGGGGGAGCAGGGCAGTGCTGAGAACAGCCTCAATTTCACTCACCAAGGGGAGGGAGGGCAATGTTGGGAAAAGCATCAGTCTCACTCATCTGCAACTCGGCACGGGGAGGGGGGGGGGAGAGGGGGGTCGGTGGGGAGAGGTGGGGGGAGGGGGGGGAGAGGGGCGGTGTCGGAGGAGGGGGAAGAGCGGGGGGGTGGTCGGGGGGAGAGGCGGGGTGTCGGGGAGTGGGGGAGAGAAGGACGGAGGACGGAGACATGAATGTACCAGGCAGGGGAATATGAGAGCAGGGAGTGAGTGGAAGGTTTGTGGGAGGGGCCGGATTCAGTGAGACCCACATGTGCTCCTGGTAATACAGTAACTCACTGTAACCACAGCAAAGGATCCAGGATTTACAAAGTTGTGCTGTCAGCAGCACATCAGACTCCATGGCGACCGACCGCTATGTACCCGTCTATTTAGACGCTGCTATAGAAACCAAAGCCAGCCAATCAACCCCAAACACAACAGCTGCACTTGTACACTTTCTTCACGAGCAAAGCATGGGTTAGGATACAGAGCGAAGGTCCCTCTACACCACTGGTGGCCAACCCATGGCCCAACAACAACAACAATAAATTACACCTGTGTAGCATCCTTCACTTCGGAAAGACGTCCCAGGGCGCTGGACGGTCAGGAGTTTTTGGACCCTGGCTGGGGGTTGGGGTCAGGAGGGTTGGAGGGCGGTGGGTAGGTGGGTCTCTTCGAAGATCTTTAGATCAAGGGCTGGAAGTGGCCCGCACGAGTGTAGGTAAGTCCGTGTCGATCAATAGTGAGTTTCCATTGTTTTCTTGATTGTATATTTCTTGATTTATGGCGCAAACCAAGAAACATTCAATCGAGAGAATTTATTTTGTTGGCCGACCAAAAAGATTGGCCAATCGTGACCATTAATCTGCACTCTTCCCGAGAGTGAGTTACAGTTCCCCCACCCCCCCACCTCTCTAGTCTCTTCACTGGACACAAACTCACAAGGCAAACTCCTCCCGCAGACGCCTCCTGTACTGTTTCTTGGGTTTCATTGTATGGAAATACGGCAGCTTGATGACATCGGGCCAGGCCGCAGGGCACGGGCTGCCACACAACCGGCTGTTTAGAAAAAAAACAAGTCAGAAACAACAGCAACAACTTGCATTCATACAGCGTCCTTCACACAGGGCAGCGTCTTGGAGCACTTAACAATGGCAGATCTAACACTTAACCCCAACCCTTAACAGAGTGGGTAACTGGACTTGAGGTATAGATCGGCCATAAAATGGCAGAAAAGGCTCGAGGGGCTGAATAGCCTATTCCTGTTTCTATATCTATGTATATCTATGTACCTATGAGCCAGGGGGAGGGAGGACGTGACTATCAGCACAGTCGAATAGTGGAAGGAGGGGGAAGAATTGAAGAAGAGTTCCAAAATTACGCAGGATTCAACATAATCAGCGAAGCATCTCCCCGTCAAGGGAACCAATCCTGTATTATTCTCTCTTTGAGTCGTGTCGCTTCAACGTTCACAGACAGGTAGGCAGGACCTTGTTTATAACACCTCATCTGAAGGACGTTACCTCCAACAATGCATTGGAGCATCAGCCTCTCATATTGGACAATGAGTGTAAAGTCCTGGCATGGGGTTTGAATGCACAATTTATAGGTCAGAGGGTGACCAACTGATTGGCTGTTCCAGTTTTCCTTTAACATGTTTGCAAGTTCAGATGTCTGGAGGATTTCTGAACTATATATAAGTCAGGGCTCTGTCACTCCGCACTGTATATAAATAAGACAGGGTTAATGGTTAATGGGTTAACTCTGCAGTAATGGAAACGGAAATGCAGCAATACCTGATAAGTTCCAGTTGTGCCAATTCCTGATTTGCCTGAAAGATGGGTTTTTTGGTGAACAGCTCTCCCAAGATGCACCTACAACAGAATATATACTTTTTTTAAATCATATCCAAAAAAACAGGTATGCATTTGACATACAGACATGCCAGCCCGACATACAAGTGTACCTCACCGCCCCCCTCAACAAACATAAAGCATAACCCCTCCAACAAACATATAGGTGAGGTGACCACCTGATTTCACCCCCCCACCCCCAAGTTATATGGGAGTAACACCCACATTTGGGCATATGCCCAGAGGCAGCCAGATCCTTTCCTAAACTGTGCTCCACATATCCTACGCTTACACTGATACCTGATTCCAGACATCTGCTACTAGAGGGTGAAAGGACCGTGCGGGAGACAATGAACACACGGGAGGAGGGCTGTAGTCCTTCCAACCCCTCACACTCCATTTTATTGTCTCAGGTGTTTATAAAAAGATAATTTAAAGATATATTGCGTATAACATTGTGATCGTGTGACAAAGGCATTTATATAAACGGAATCCGCCAAAACAATACGTTTCGCATCTCTCTCTGCAATCTCAATGATTCACTTACAACAATTTGAATGAAGCCATCTTCCTCCACAGCAACCCCCCACAAAAATCACCCAATGATCAGGAAGGGGTGGAGAGGCTATCACAGCTCCAGCACTTACCCGCAGCTCCAGACGTCTATAGCTGGAGAGTATCGTTCCTCGCCCAAGAGCAGCTCCGGGGGCCGGTACCACAGCGTAATAACTTTATTGGTATACGGGCGGCTGGGAAGAATACAAAGTAGTATTACTTCCATTGCAGACAGACAGCAACACTCTGCTTCACAAAGCCCTTGTAGAACAGTGACGCCCTCTGTTGATGCCCAGCACTGCAGCCAGGATATCAGGACTTTGCCTGTAAACTTCACTGTCCTAAATCATTTTTTTTTCTCTCTCAGTGCTAAGAACACAGCTAGCTCATCCATCATGGCAGTTATTATAAATTTGTAAATAGAATTGCTACCACACTGCACAGGGGAATCCATGCATCCGCTGCCCACACATGCCTCCTAACCCCACCTACTCTCTCCTTCCCCAGCACAGCCCCACACCAGCTTGGAGTCAGGCTCTGCCACTGTTAAGTGCTCTGAAACGCTACCTTGCATGGAGGGAGCTATATAAGTGCAAGTTGTTGTTGCCTGGTGCTGGCTTCTGTGCTGTGAGTCAGTGATGACACTGACTGCTGCTCGTGTGGTGCCAGGCACCAGTGACAGCATTACAGTAATAATAATAATCCTTGCATGTGATATAGGGCCTTATGTCTTCGCGACGTCTCAAAGTTCTTCAGAGAACATACTGTGAAGTGTAGTGACTGTAAGTTTTGTGGGTGAAAAGCAGCAGCCAATTGCGCACAGCGGCGTCTCAAACTATTGTGGATTGAGTGACTAAACCATTATTATTATTATTTTAGAACACCCCTCGCCTGCTCCTCCCTTCCACCCATGATAATGTGCAGTTGGGGTCCATAAAATTCCACCCTGCCTTAAAACGGGATAGGTTGGGAGACAGAGAAATAAAGGAGACAGAGAAAGAGTAGGAGAACGAACGAGTCAAGACACATTAATTGCCTTCACAGAACACAAGGACGCCACAAAGCGAGATGTGATGACCTCGGTGACTTTATGAGCCAGAAGACCCAATTTTTTGTAGTTCAAAAGACTAAAAGTAATGTACCCCATCCACCCAATAAGCTTCCCCAAGGCTGCTGAATCAGGTACAGATTAAGTGACTCACCTCTCCTCTGAATTGTATAATCTCGCCAGTCCGAAATCTGCCAGTTTAATCCGCCCGCTGTAAGAGATGAGAATCAGCAAGGGAAGGCAATCAATAAAACCTACACCCCGTGATTCTAACAGCCCCTAACCCCATCAATCCTCAAACTCCACTCCCATCACCCTCAAACTGCAATAAGAATGTACATTTATATAATGCCAGGACAGACAACATCTCAAAGTGCTAAACACAGCAAACTGGGTGGGTGGAGGTCAGAAGAAGATAGATGCCAAAAGAGACATGTCTCAGAGGAAAGACAGGTTCTGCACTGACTCTGTGAGTTGGAGTGAGCATCCATACAGTCAGTGACTGAGAGGAGAAAATACTGATAGGAGCCAAGCAAGTGAACCTTGGGCTTGTTGATTTGATGTCCGGTAGGCAATCAAACTATCATCACAGATGTGGAAGGAGGGCGTGTGGAGGTCAGGAGGGGAGAGGTGGAGGCAATTGAGCAAATCCACTTGAGTTTGGACTCGAGGAAGTCCATCGCCTCCTTATATTTGGAGTTGGAGCAGGGGTAGATGGCGAAGGAGGTGATTGGTGCTGGAGAAAAGGAGCCTAAAGTTGCCTTTGACCTTCAGAACAATTCTGCGCCCCCAACCCCACACTCAGGAGTAAACCCAGGGTGGGAAGGGGGGATCAGTTTCCTTACCTGTTGTTGAGCAGGATGTTGGAGCACTTGATGTCTCTGTGCAGGAAGTTCTTGCGGTGGCAGTAATCCAGCCCATCCATTAGCTGCTTCATGAAGGATTTGATGTGATCCTCGGTGAAGTGCACAAGGCCCGACTCCAGCAGCCCCATCAGGTCATGGTCCATGTACTCGAAGACTAGGTAAAAAGCTCCTGTAGTGAAGGGACCACAGAATTGCCCGTTAGATCTGTAACTCAATCCACACCGTCAGGCCACTAATTTATTTGAAAGGGTTATTACCCCCAGAAAGTGATCCGCCAATCAACTAAAAACTAGATTCCTATTTACTGCTGGGTAAACAGAGGCTTGTGATGTAAGGAAACTTGCCTAACGTTTCGTCCTGCCAGTAATTGAACCCAGGTCCTCTTGCTTGAGAGCCAAATGCTCTAATCATTACACTAGGGGACTCCACATGGTACATCTCCAGTTGTGGATTTGCCAAAATCATGACTAGGGAGGAAAGCAACTGCTGGCAAATCTTCTGGGGTAAAGCTTGGAAACATCACCCAAATCCCCCCCAAAAATCAGGAAGCAGTACATGCATTATTTCTCTAACATCACATCTCCTGACCAGCTATACTCCACAGTCGCTCACCCTTGAGCCCAGATCTCCTGAGCCTTACACATGTCAGCCTTGTTTGTGGACATTTGTCCAGAGCTTTTCTTTCAACGAGGTAAATGCCCAGCGATGAACAAGCCTATTCCCAACAAACACCGTAGTCCTGACCCTCAAGCTTTTATTTTGTTTGCTAACTCCGGCACCATTTTACTTAGATATTAAACATTACTCTTGATAATCACGTGGCACCTTTATCTTTCTTGAAGTCCAGCGCATCTTGCTTGTCTGTGACGATTTCCTTCATGTTGACCACGCTGGTGTGATTGAGCTGGCGAAGGATTTTGATTTCACGAATGGCCGTGATGGGAAATCCTTCCTTCTCGTTGTCCAGTCGTACTTTCTTGAGAGCGACCATCTCACCTGTGACGGTAATAAGAGTGTACATAAAACGATTACAGATGTGTCGATCTGGGTACAATCAATACCAAGGTCGCTGACCCAATCCCTTCGCTCTTTCTCTGTCCTTTTAAGTGACTTCTGAAATCATGCAACAGCTCACCTGTTACTAAAGGGTGAGGGACCTGCTGTTGCATCGCCGGTCTCTGCCAATATCTCACTCCAAAAGCCGCTGAAACCTTGGTCCATGCCTTCGTCACCTCTCGGCTGGACTATTCTAATGCCCTCCTCGCTGGTCTCCCATCCACTACCATCTCCATAAGATCTAGGTCATACAAAACTCTGCCGCCCGCATTCTTACCCGCACCAAACTCCGCTCCCCGATTACCCCAGTCCTTACCAGACTGCACTGGCTGACTGTCCCAGAGAGGATCGACTTCAAGATCCTCACCCTTGTCTTCAAACCCCTCCACTTCTTTGCACCCCCCTACCTCTATGACCTCCTCTCTCCTCAAAACAGTGCCCGTTGCCTTCGTTCCACCGGGTCTGGCCTCCTCCTCGTCCCCCGAGTCCTCTGCTCCACCTTCGGCGGCCGTGCCTTCAGCCACTATGCCCCGAGGTTCTGGAACTCCCTTCGCCTCGCCCCCTCTCTTATTTTCAGATCTCGGCTGAAGACCTTTCTTTTCGACCGCGCCTTTGGTCACCTTCCTCCCCCTCCCCCTGGCTTGGCCCCGGGATCCGTTACTGTGAAGCGCTCTGAAACACCATCCGGCGTGGAGGGCGCTATATAAATCCAAGTTGTTGTTGTTGTTGTTGCCATCTCACCACGGGGCTGATGACGATAACAAGCCTCCACTAGGCCTTTCAGTCCTGCGCTTCACATTGAGCCCAAACCGCTCCGTGAATCAATGCAACAGACTCAGGCCAAGTGTTTGTTCCACCAGGAGCCGTTGCTCTATTATCTGCGATTCCCAAACGGCAGCAATAATAATCCTTGCATTTGATATAGCCTTATCATGTCGTTGACTCGCTTCACAGGCAATACTGTAAAGTGAATTGACTGTGTATTTTGTGGGTGCAATGGGTACAATACCTGTGTCCTTATCCTTGGCTTTGTAAACCTGTCCGTATGTCCCCTCTCCAATTATTCCAATGATGTCAAACTTATCCACGCACCGCTTGCCCCAGTCACTCTCAGTCTCCTTCTTCTCACCATAGCGAGGGCAGCATATTCTACAAAACACCAGGAGCACGTGTAAGCACAGATGTAGGAACCAAACATTGAGTTGTGTATTTCGTGCATAATGTGCATGCAGTGATATCAACAGTGCCTTGATGATCCAGAAGTCAGTCAATTTTTCCTCCGAACTATTGGACTCAGTTAACCACATTATTATGAGGTATATTCAGGGAAACACAGCAGCCAATTTGCGCACCACAGCCATAGAGTGAATGACCAATTTATTTGGAGGATTTGGGGGCCAGAGCTCCAGGAGAAATCCCTTCTCTTTTCAAATAGTATCAGAGGATCTTCAACGTTCACCTAAACAGACAGACGGGACCCCAGCTGAACATCTCACGTAAGAGACTGCACCTCCAACAATGTAAAATTCCCCTCAGTGTCAGCCTAGATTTTGACCTCAAACCCTGAATTGCACCTTGAAGCCTCAACCTGCTGACCTAGAGGGGAATATGCTACCAGTTGACACTCCTATCTCAGAGTTGTTGTTCCCTTTACATCAGCAGTCAATATTTAACCAGCAGCTACTGAAGCAATGAATGGGGCATAGAATTGACCAACCATAAAGCGACTAATAGAAATTCGCTGCAATTATCTGCACAGTAAATAACTAAGCATTCGTGCAGCAGAGACTGAAATCAAGGCACAGAACGGCACATGTAAAGACTGCAGAGCATTCCCTCAGCAAACAGCTGTGACATAGAATTTCCTCATTGCCTTGAAGGTATTTTTTTTTAAAGGGATTATTGCCCCCACAAAGCGATCCCCCAATCGACTAACAAACAGAAAATGTCTTACTTACTTTGGCCTTTTCTTGAGGACAGGTTGTGGTGGAGATGGAGATTTCTGCTCTGGAGAATCAGGCGGCGAGGGGTCTGTACCAGGGAGTTCTGGAGGGAGAGGGAGATCTGCCAGTAGATGCCGGGGCCTTTGGTCTCTCTCTTTCTTCGTGGGCTTTGGATGATGGATTTCTTTTGGACTGGAAAAAAACAAGGAAGAGGCTTTACAGACTGGCACACACAAAGTCCTCAACACACACAGACAGACGCTTGCAATTTCAGAGCAACCGCGGATCTTTCTGTCAAGCCGTTTTCTGGGGTGAAAGCTTGACCATATCCTCGGCCACTGCTCTCTCCTATATCAGGATTAAGAACACGTGATGCATTCACCGGAAGAGCAATTAAAGCTAGATATTATGGAAGTCACAAGGAAGGTTCATAAGAAGCCCCCTCAGCCCATTCTTCTAGAAATACCCCCTTCCCAACTTTACGTGACAGCATCAAGCTATTTCTTAAATAAATATGAACATTCCTGTAGCCTTACAACATCTTCCTAAAGCCTTACACAATCCTTCTCACAAACTGCCAATTCACCCAGTTTAGTATCATCAGCAAACTTGGCCATAGCTCCTTCAATGTCCACATCCAAGTCACTGATGTGTATTGTAAAAAGCAAGTCTTACACAAACACCTACCTATTGATTCCCTTCTGCACTCTGCTCTTCAGTCACCCTTTTTGCTCTCTCCACTACCTGGTACTAAGCTCTTAACAAAAGTCTTTTTTCACATCCATCACATTATCTAGTTTTCCCTCACAGTTCGATCCTCTAATATTGGAGATTAAACTGGCAGCCCTGCTCTGAGATTGTGTCCCAGAGTGTTCATTATAAAGGGTACACAGGCTGTTTTTGGTTGTTTTTTCTCTAAGCCCAACACTCTGTACCAGCGACTGGTGCAGTGTTTAAGTGCAAAAATTAACTGTCCTCAGGCAAAGTCGATGGGCGGTCATCTCCCCTCTCTATTCACTACCGCCTGTGACACAGCTGTGGACACATCTTGTTGCCCAGCTCAGTGAAACGACAAAACAATGACAATAACTTGCATTTAAATAGTGCTCTTCACATTGCATAACGTCCTAAAGCTTTTCATGGAAGGGGTTAGACATCAAATAAGGGTGAGAGAGAGGGAGATGAGTTAACAGAGGCATGGTTGACGAAGTAGATTTTAGATAGGTTTTCAAGACAGGTAGAGAGAGAGAGCAAGAGGGGTACAGGGAGGAAATTCCAGATGTTAGGGGTAAAGTAGCTGAAGGCTAGCCCACCAATGGTAGCAATAATAATAATAATAATAATCCTTGCATTTTGATATAGCGCTTTTCACGTCAGGAGGACGTCCCAAAGCGCTTCACAGAACACACTGTAAAGTGAATTGACTGTATATTTGTGGGCGAACGCGGCAGCCAATTGCGCACAGAAATGTCCCACAAACAGTCGTAGATTGTAAATGACCAATTTAATTATTTTTTTTTTTTTTGGAGGGATTTTTTTTAGGCTCTGTGTTGAGTAAGGAAAGGCGCCCAAGGTTTCGCCCTCTGCCTGGAATTGAACTCAGGTCTCTCACTTGCAAAGCGAGTGCTCTAACCACTGAGCTACAGGACTCCACGGGGTGGTTATACTTCAACTTGAGCTTCAACTGTGGTGGCTACTGAAGCCATCTCTGTCCAATGCTCTCAGGAAAGACTCGAACCTGATGAACCAACTTACTCCAATCCCTCCAAAACAAAAAACAATAATAAATTGGTCATTTTCAATCCATGACTGTTTGTGGGACACTACTGTGCGCAATTGGCTGCCGCGTTTCGCCCACAAATATACAGTCAATTCACTTTACAGTTTATTCTGTGAAGCGCTTTGAGATGTCGAGAAGACATGAAAAGTGCTGTATCAAATGCAAGGATTATTATTATACACAACTGCACCAGATATTTACTGAATCCTGTCTATAACTTCATGTTGCATTGCAAAGGTTTGAGGGTGAATATTTGGGGAATAAACTAGCCAAAACACGAACAAATAGTTTTGTGTTGACGATTCCAATTTAGTATTCAAAAACACCAGGAGACATGCCCATGTTCACCCACACACGCGCACTCAGGAGCACATGCACGTACAGACGCACATACAGACAAGGACATACACACCAAGAGACGCATGCATTCAGACACGCATACATGCATTCCAGAATCACCACCAAAACATGCTATTGAAGCTACCATGGTTATTGCTCCTCTTTTGTTTTTCTCTGGGACACTGTCCGGCGTGAACGGCGCTATATAACGGCATGTTGTTCTCAAGCATCCAATTCCCCTGCCTTACACTCGTCCTCCTCTGTGTTCTAATCAAAACTCATTGTGCTGCATCCTCCTCAAGACTTTGGCACTCCACTGCCATTGACAATGTATCAGGGACCAATCCATCCCCTACTCCTTGACACAGCTCATTAATGTCCCAATGGGCTAATGCCACTGAGCCACAAAACCTACCCCTTCTTTTGTCTAGGATGTTACATATGTTATAAGATGAAGTTAGATTAGAAGATCAGCCATGATTGAATGGCAGGGCAGGTTCGAAGAGCCAAATGGTCCACTCCTGCTCCTACGTTATGTTATGTTACATACATCAACCTACAGCATCATTGGCAGAGCGAGACTGCTGATCGAGTTGTGCTTCAGACTTGAGCTGTACTTCATCACTTATCAGGGCAACTCTTTCTGCAGCCTCTTCATATTCCACCTTACATGTTAAACACAACCCGAAAATTCAAACCAGAAGATTAAAACCAGGAAATACAGAACACCTGCACACCAGAACACCCTTGTGCTCATCCTGGATTTAAAGCTGGTTTGAGGATTCGGGCCAGGCTGGACATGTATTGTCACTGAATGCTCGCTTCACTCTGTGTGTATTTCACACATCTATTACCTTTCTATGTCATCCTCTCCCGGCAGCAGTGGTGGGAGCGGTAAGGGCGGCAGTGTTGAGGTCAGTAAGGACATGACGGAGTTCAGCATTGGTGGCATCGGGAGAACCGTGGCCGATATAGTAATCCTGGGCGGTGGTTGTGAGATGTTTGATGGTGGTGGTGGTTGTGCTGAAACCGGGGCCGATACAGACGCCAGCACTGGCGGCAACGGTAATAACAGTGGCACTGGTGCTTGCGGTAGGATAGCTGACGGAGGGGGTTCGGCCAAGCTCTCCGGTGGAGGGTGGGATAGGGTCAGAGTCGGTGGTGGCAAAGGAGGAGGCGGGTGGACCGGAGCCGGGGGCAGCAGTTTTGGGGGCGAGGCCGGCGGTAACGGGGGCAGGGAGGAGGAGGACGGCGGGAGCGGAGGTTTCTCGGTCTGGATTTCGTTGGGTAACGGAGGCACATTCAGACTCTTGTCCTTCGGGGTTCCTGATTCACTTTTCAGTGATTTGGGTTCTCTGGGGGCTGAGGGTAGGGGCGAGAGGCTGATTCTATCCTCGCTCAGATCGACCCTGACTCTGGGATCCGCAGGAGTCTCCTCAAGAGCAGCGACTTCCTTCCTCAGCGATAAGGAGTTCGGGATCCCTGAGGGGGAAGCGGACTTTTCCAACCTAACTGTTCTGGTCAATCTCTTGGTATCTTTCAGGGTTGGACCACAGCCTGCGTTGCTGGGACCTGCCCCGTGGGGGTGAAGGGGCTTTTTTGACACAGTGGACGCCTTCGGCTCTTTCAAGTGTTTCCCGGTTGCCTTGGCAGCCACCGCAGCTCGAGCCTTCTTCGTTTTGTTCAGCTCGGCTCCCAGGCTAGACTTGAGGGTCAGTCTGCCGGGCGAGATGCTGGAGTGCCGGCTCCGGGATCGGGACTGCCGGTGTTTGCTGTGCGATCTTGAATGTCTGGAGTACAGTGGGCTCCGGCTCCGTGACTTTGCCGACCTCCTGAAAGAAGAGGGAGGGTGGGAGAGCGTTAGCATTCACAGAAACAGGAGTAGGCTATTCAGCTCCTAAAGCCTGTTCCGCCATTTTTATACAATCATGACTGATCTGTACCTCAAGACCAGTTCCGCGCCTTTGCCCCATATCCCTTAATACCCTGACTAACAAATATCTCTCTACCTCCACTATTCGGCTCCATCTGGAGCATCTGTCACAGAAGGGACTGAGCAGCAAGGACACGTATGCAAGCACAAACACATGCGTGTTCACCAGAGGTACACACTCATCTAACCAACAGACTAAGCTCCAGTTACAGAAAATATCTGCACAATCTGATATCAGAACACACAGACTATAACACAAATAACACAAGAGTACAGGCCTCGAAGACCTTGTATCACACACTGAATGAGTTCACCAATCAATGCAAACACAAACCTACACTGTCTTGGAGAAAACTACAAACTGCTTCTTATTAAAGCAAACCACAGGAGCCTCAGGCACCATTTGGACAGTGAGTAATATGTCCCCACAGGCGTTGATTAATACCCCCCATATAGTAACCTTTCCCCCACCACACACACAAAAACACGCAGTGAGTATTACCCCCACACGCACCTCCGCCCACACACATACTTACACACATCCTCCCATGCACACATAGACAGTATTAATACCCCCCTCTCCCTCACACACACAGTGAGTAATAACCCTGCAGATGAAGTGAGCAATATGCCCAGGAGAAAGTGAATAAACCAGAAAAGGAGTAATATATCCCAACAGTAACACCCCAACAGAAAGAGACTAATATAATAATTACATTTGATTTAGTGCTTTTCACGTCTTCTGGAGTCTCAAAGTGCTTCACAGAATAGCCTGTAAAGTGACTTGACTGTATATTTGTGGGTGAAATATGGCGGCAGCCAATTGCGCACAGCAGCGTCCCACAAACAGTCATGGCTTGAAATGACCAATTTATTATTGATTTTTTTGGTGAGATTATTATCAGGCGTGTAGAGTAAGGAAACTTGCCCAAGGTTTCACCCAACTCAGGTCTCTCGCTTGCAAAGCGAGTGCTCTAACCACTGAGCTACAGGACTCCAATATCCCCCCTTCTTCTCCCCTCCCACCCCTGGCAGGGAGTAATATCCCTACAGACAGTGAATAATACCACCGAGGGACAGTGAGTAATACCATCCCAGAGAGTAATACCGCCCCCTCCCCTCCCCAAGAGTGAATAATGCCCCCAGAAAGTGAATAATAGCCCCAGTAAACAATGAGTATTATGCCCTCACAGGCATTAACATGCCACAGGGAGCAAGTACTACCACCTAAAGACAAACAGTGAATAATACCACCCACACTGTGAGTACTCCAAGTGGGCTAGGTGCAATACCCCTCACAGATAGTCAGGAATAACCACCTCCCCCCACATACACAGGGTCAGAAATATGTGCACACAATGGGCAATACCCACCAAACACAGTCACTACACTTTACAGTGTATCCTGAGAAACTCTTTGAAGACATGATAAGGCACTATATCAAATGCAAGGATTACTCATTATTATCCACCCTGAGAGTGAGTAATACCCCCAGCCCCACAGATAGTGAGTAATATCTACACACCAGAGAGAGTAATATCTATAGCCACCCACCCTCACGGACAGTGAAAATTCCCCCCCACGAACTGAGGAAAGGCCATCTGTGTAAAGTCCCTTCTCCATGTTGTCCCCCTTTCCCCAGCAATGACCTGTTTCTTGCTTATGTATGTAATGTTATGAGGGAAGCAGACAGCTCAGCTCACACAGTGATCAAGTTAAGGCTCCAGCTCTGTCCCCACACCACCTCAGACTGGGTACAGACTCCACACCATTGAACACCAACGACAAATGTGTCTAACCCCCTCTCTCTGCAGCTATTCCCCTGCTCCCTCCCTCATGCAGCTCATTAGCACTGAACTAAATGACACTTGCTGCAGTACAGTGTAACTATCCTGGGCTAAAGGTTTCGGATCTCTTGGGCCTCTCTCTGCTGGGCCTGCAGTTAGATGTGCAGGGCTTCCACTTGGACCTAATGCCAACTACATTCCACCAAAATCTGACTTTAACTGTACTTTAAATTTGTAAAGTGCAAGAACCAAAGTGGAGTATAACAACAGTTTACTTTTACACAGAACCTTTCACATCAGGAGTTCTCAAAGTCAATGAAGGGGGACAGGGGATCACCCGTTGACTGGGTAATTGAGCTAGATTTTAAGGTGAGCTTTAAAGGTGAGGAATAGGGCCTGAGGCGGAGGAAATCCAGAATAGCATTCAGAGAGCGCAGGCAGAATGGCTGAAGGTTCACCCACAAATGGTGACGCAGATCAAGCAGGAACCCAGCGGAACACAGGGCACTCAGGGGAGGGAAAGGGGTGTTGTAGTCAGTGAAAATGGGGGTTTGCTGTCAGAGAGAAGGGGATGTTCAAGGTCAGGGGGGTTGTCAGAGGGGGGGGTTCACGGTGAGAGCGAGGGGATGGTGCATGCAGAAAAGAGGAGGTAGTTAGAGAAGGGGAATTCAAATTCAGGTTGGGGGGGTTTGCATTTAGAGGGGAGAATAAAGTCAGGGAAGGGGTCACAGGCAGAGGGTGGGGAGAGGTGGGTGTGGGGAGAGGTGTGTATGGAGGGAGAAGGTGTGTGGGGGTGGGGAGAGGGTGTGTGTGGGAGTGGGGAGAGGGTGAGTGTGGGGATGGGGAGAGGGTAGGGGGAGTGGTGCGTATGGGGGTGGGGAGAGGTGCGTGTGGAGAGGCGCGTGTGGGGAGAGGTGTGTGTGTGTGGGGTACGGGAGAGGTGTGTGTGGGGGGTACGGGAGAGGTGTGTGTGTGGGGGGGGGGAGAGGGAGAGAGGTGTGTGTGGGTGGGGGGAGGGGAGAGGTGCGTGTGTGGGGAGAGGTGCGTGTGGGGAGAGGTGTGTGTGGGGGGAGGGGAGAGGTGTGTGTGGGGAGAGGTGTGTGTGTTAGTGGGGGGAGGGGAGAGGTGTGTGTGTGGGGGGGGAGGGGAGAGGTGTGTGTGGGGGGGGGGAGGGGAGGTGTGTGTGGGGGGGGAGAGGAGGGGAGAGGTGTGTGTGTGTGTGTGGGGGGGAGGGCACAGACAGAGGCCATATTGACAGGCCGGGCCTAACGCTGGGCCTTGCTGGTTTGTGTAACGCAGCCATGAGTGTCTGCACAACTCTGGCCATAGAATCAGCTGCCTTTCAGCGCACGGGTAGTGCCTGAGAACAGGAAGCCCTCAGTTTGCTAACTTCCGCAGCCCACCACCACCACCTTTCCCCTGAAGTTGTGAGCACTGTGTACGCACGCGAGAAGTGGCGAATGCCCAAAGCGCTGTTCTCTCCACTCTTTCCAGGCCGCTCGCCCGCCTGCACACCACATGCTCACACACTGAGGCCTCACATCCTCCCTCAGCCTATGGCGGCCTGAACATGGGGCCTGAACAGTTCTGGAGACCCTCACGATATTTACTCAACGAGAAGCAGAGTAAATAAAGTGCTGCATGTTAAACCTCGACTTTAACCTTATAAACCAGTAATACAGACAATATACCTGGGTCCTGGGCTCTGGCTGAACGATCTTCTGGCTCCATAGGGGCTGACCGACCGCCTCCGACCATATGGGCTGGGTGACCTCCCGCTGTAATCGTAGGAGCTGCTGTGACGGTCGTAGCTGGGGGATCGCTGGCGGCTGTAGGGGCTGGAAGACCTTTGCCGTCTGCTGTAAGGGCTGGGAGAGCGTCCGCTGTAACTGCTCTGGTACGCAGCCGGTTCCCGGGAGCTGTAGTACGTGGGGGGGCTGGCAGACTGCTTCCGGCTCGAGCCGCCGGGACTCCGCCTGTACGATGCCTCGTAACCGCCCGAAGTCCGAGAGCGGTACACGGGGCTGCCCTCGTAGCCCTTGCTGTACAACGTCCCATACGGGCTGTCCTCCCGGTTCGGGCTGGATGAGCGTTTGCGTCGCGGGCTCCCAGCTTTCTTCTTGGGGGGACTGGACGACGTCCTATAGCCACGAGGCGTCTCTTTGCTTTTCTTCTGACTCTTTGGCCGCTCCCTCTGAGCCGCTCGCTCCTCCTTCTCCCTCTTGGCCCGTTCCTTGTACGAGGACTTGCCGGACTTGGCCTCTTTGCCGCCGCGTTTGGTGGCCGGAGCCGGTGAACCGTGCTCTCGCCTCCCACAATCCTCGTCCTCCGCGCTCTGCCTCTTCGAAGTCCTTTCCCTGCTGGTGCTCGACTTACCGGACGACTCGGGCCCTTTCTCCGGCTTCCTGCCTCGGTCTTTGACCCTCTCCGTCTCTTTGGACCTGCGGTGCTCCTTGCCCCTCTTGTGCAGGTGGTGGTGATGCTTGTGGGCTCTGAGCGCTTTCTCCGAGCTGGTCCGCTCCTCCTTGTCCCGGCGCTCCGGCTTGAAGTTGACCTCGGGGAAAGAGTCCGAGTCCGAGCTGATGTCGTCATACTCCACCAGGGACTTGACCTTAGCGAGTGGGACCTGGGCAACTCCAGGCGAGTCCCGGCTGTGCTTGGCTCGGTGTCTCTTGTGTCGGGACGCCGCTTTGCGCCTCTCTCTGCCGCTGCCGCCACCGCCTCCGCCGCCACCGCTGGAGCCGGGCTGAAGGGACCCCAAACCGCCGCTGCCTCCTCCATCCACCTTGCTCCCGGCTCGCTCCGAGCCTGGCATCCCTTCCTCTCAACGGGTGGGTTGGGGGGGGGGGGGGGGAGGGGGGGAGTGGTGAGGAGGGGGTAGGGCTCAAAACCGGGAAAGGAAACTTCCAAAATAAAATGTTTTCTTTAAAGTAAAGCGAAAAGAAAAAGGAAAAAGATCTTTCGGGCCGCACGCGACCCCCGTCCTTCGCTCCTTATATCCTCTGGTCTGATCACATTCACCCAAAGGGTTCCTTTTCTTCCATAATCTGCACTAGTCTGAGGCTCTAACCCGGTGACAAGCAACTTCTCTCTCTCTCTTTCTCTCTCGCTCTCTCCCCCTCTCTCTCTCTCTCGCTCTCTCTTTTCTGCCTTGACTTTAAAGTAAGAGGCACAATCACTGGATGTTGACACCCAGGGTTTCGGGATTTTTTTCTCTCTCTCTCTCTTTTGCAGTGTTTTTTGGTTGTTGTTGTTGTTGTTGTTGTTGTCTCCCCTGCAGAATTGTTCAGAGCATTTTTGTTTTCTCTTTTTCCTTTCCTGTTTTTTTTAAGCCTCTCCTCTCCTTTCCTCTCCTCTCCTCTCCTTTTTTTTTTAAAAAAACATAAACCCCAAAACCGAAAAAGAAAAAAAAAGAAAACCCTCGATTTTATTTGGCGTTTCCTTGACTGTACTTTTTGTTGACAGAATTCGGATTTTTTCCCCCCCCCACCCCCTCCTCCCACCTTTTGATATTTTTTTTTCCCCAAAAAAAAAGACGAAACGAAACGAAACGAGAGAGAAGAGAAAAAAAAACTTGTATTTGGATTTCTTTTTTAAGTTTTTATCTGCAATATTCCCGTGATTTTCGTCAAATGGCTGTATCAGCGTGTATGTTGGACATTCTGGTATAAGTTTGCACGCCCTGGACCCCTCTCTGGCCGGTACTCAGGGCGATGGAGGCGGATTGTTAGCAGCAGCCTGGTTTCAGCTGTCGAAACACAGACGCCATTGCGGCTTCGTGCCGCTCTGCCGGAAGCGCGGCGCTCGGAGGTCAAACGTCTACTTCCGGAACGCCCCCCCTCTTGTCGATCCGGCCTCTGCAGTACCGGTCCTTGGCCACAGTGGCGCTGCGCTGCAGTACCGGTCCTTGGCCACAGTGGCGCTGCGCTGCAGTACCGGTCCTTGGCCACAGTGGCGCTGCGCTGCAGTACCTATTCCCGGCCAAAGGGTAGCGCTGTGCTGTGCGCTGCGCTGCAATACCGCCCTCAGCCCTGTTGAGAGGAAGGCGTGACAGGCTCAACAACAACAACAACAACAACAAGATTGTATTTATAGAGCGCCTTTCACGTCGGGAGGACGTCCCAAGGCGCTGGACAGTTGGGTCAGGACCCGAGCATTGGGGGGAAATGGTCAGGGTGAGGGGAGGGAGGGGAGGGGGCGAGGAGGGGGGAAATGGTCAGGGTGAGGGGAGGGAAGGGAGGGGGCGAGGAGGGGGGAGATGGTCAGGGTGAGGGGAGGGAAGGGAGGGGGCGAGGAGGGGGGAGATGGTCAGGGTGAGGGGAGGGAAGGGAGGGGGCGAGGAGGGGGGAGATGGTCAGGGTGAGGGGAGGGAGCGGAGGGGCGAGGAGGGGGGAGATGGTCAGGGTGAGGGGAGGGAAGGGAGGGGGCGAGGAGGGGGGAGATGGTCAGGGTGAGGGGAGGGAGCGGAGGGGCGAGGAGGGGGAGATGGTCAGGGTGAGGGGAGGGAAGGGAGGGGCGAGGAGGGGGGAGATGGTCAGGGTGAGGGAGGGAAGGGAGGGGGCGAGGAGGGGGAGATGGTCAGGGTGAGGGGAGGGAGCGGAGGGGGCGAGGAGGAGGGGATATTTTCCCAAGCGTTCCCGTTGTTGGCTCCCGGGCACCCGCTCAAAAATCAGCGCCCCTATTTGACACCTCAATCCAGAAGCCCTTGCGGGCAGCCAGTCCGTCCGGGGGGTGTGTTCTGATGCGGGTGGTGTTACAATAAGAATAATAAACCCTGCGTTTGATATACGTCTTCAAGACGACTCAAAGACGTCCCAAAAGCCCTGCGCAGAACACACCGTAAAGTGAACTGGTTGTATATTTTGCGGACGAAACCCCCCCCCCCCCCCCCCAGGAACATTCACCCGATCAAACAACCAATTTAATATCAAGATTGTCGTCGCACGGGTCAGCCGACAAACAGAAGCGTTTCTAACGCGACCGAAATAATGCTTTAAGCGATGACGTCTTTGATCCCAGCAGAGGCGTCGTCCTTCGGATGAGACGTTAAACCCAGTAGACGTTGTTGGGAAAACCGACGAAAAGCCATCGACCTGAAACGTTAACCCAGTTTCCTCCCTTCGTAGATGCTGCCTGACCTGCTCGGTGTTCCCAGCGACTTCTGTTTTTATTTCAGGTTTCCTGCAGATCTGCAGTATTCTGCTTATTGCCTCGTCTATGTTTTTGGTACTTGCACATTTAAAACCTCTTCGTCTGCAGAGTGGTAGGAAGGCCGGAAGGAAGGAAGGAAGGAACTAAAAGCAACCCACCCAGAGGAGGATGAAAGGATGATCAGAGAGATGGAAAGGATAAGCTTAAAGCTCATGTCCCTCTTAGGGGCCAATGTTAATCACATAATGTTCTGAAAACCACCCTCATCAGCCCCGGCCAATACAAGGGCTCACGTTCCAATTCTGTGTCCACTTGCCAGTCTCCTCCAGCCACCCTCCGATCAATATTAAACAATCACACACCCTGAACCTTCACCCCTAATCTTTGGGATCAAAGTCTTGCACTGAACTTTCACCCCTGAGATAACAACACGAAAGTGGCGTATCGTTTTGAGTCATTTTTTGTTACCTACTTCTGGAAGGCATTAGGTGCCGGTTAGCAGGAGCCAAGGCTTGGCAAAAGCGTCTATATTAGTAATTATAATAATAATAATCATCTTTGCATTTGCTATAACACCTCATCACGTCTTCGAGGTGTTTCAAAACGTTTCGCAGGATATACTCTGAAGTGAATTGACTGTATATTTAGTGGGTGAAAGGTGGCAGCTAATTGCACATAGCAGTGTCCCACCGACAGTCATGGATTGAGTGACCCAATCTTTTTTTAAGCGATTATTACTCCCGGAAAAGCAATCCACCAATCGACTAACGACTGATTGGGAACTAACAGCTGTCTAGTTAGGAAAAAGAGAGAGAATTAGGAGGCGTAGAGGCTCATGTGGAGAATAATGAGCAGCTTAATTGATGGACTAGGTAAAGGACTAGTTTTTAATGCTGCGTTATTCAATGTAATTGTGTGTATAGCAGCCATGTATAGATCTCAATCCTGGCGAATTGATCATTGATGAATTTGAACTGGGGAGCGGGGAGGGTGGGGGGAGCGGGGAACCCACCCTCACATAAAAAATAGGTGTTACGCCTATAGAGGGAGTGGCGTTTCCTTTACACAATGCCTCTCTCAGCGATTATTGTTATCTTGTATTATTGCTCCTAAATGTTTACCCCCTACCTACACCATTGTTTCTCCCCCTCAAGCCCCTCGCCCCCACCAGCCCCTCCTCAGCCCCCACCCCCAGCTTAGGTGCAAACCCTGGACTGTCCACCCACTTGGAACATCCTCCTAATTTGTAAATGTAAATTTGTAATTGTCTTGTGTTTGTACATTACATTGTATAGATCCCAGGTGTAATATTATTATAGACTTGACACCAGACATCAGGGAAAGATCACTCAAGCTTTATTTAGAAACTTCCAGATATGGAACCAGGAGAGATGGAATTGGGATAACAGAACTGGGATGGATGAAGCTGAAAAGTATCTGGACAAGCAGCAGGAAATCTTGCCAGACAGCGAAATCAATGGCAAGCTATGCGGTTTTAGCTGGTTACCAGCTGGTTACCCAGCGCACACTATGGGCTCCCCGCAAGCCTCAGCTCTTGCCAACCTCCACCTAATTCTTTCTGGAATTGGGGGAGCAGGAAGCGTCCCTCCAGGGAGAGAGAGGGAGAGAGCGCATTCCGTTCCAGCAATCTATCTCTGGGATTCCCATGTGTAGGTGCGATGCACAGAAATCTCAGCTTGGTTTGGAATACTCTTAAGCAACAGTGATGGGTTTATGCATTTGTCAGACATCCGAGCTGACCAAAAAAAAACTTACACACTACTAATAATAATCCTTACATTTGACTAGCATCGTCTCACATCTTCTAGCTGTTTTCAAAGCACTTCACAGAATATACTGTAAAGTGAATTGTCTGTATATGGGGGCGAAACACGGCAGCCAATTGCGCACAGCAGCGTCCCACAAACAGTTGTGAATTGAGTGACCACATTTTTATTTTTTTTGAAGAGATTATTATCCACAGAAAAGCGATCCGCCAATCGACTAACAACCGGTTTCCTACTTACTGCTGGGTAAAAATGGCGTGTGCGTGGAGTAAGAAAACCTGCCTAACTTATAGTTATGGGAAGATGGTGAACGAGGCTCTAGGATGAACGTGTACCTATTTCTGACTTGTTCTCACTGCCCCTATTGTACCACACTGCCAGGCCCACCATAATGGGGATGATGCAGATGGGCGTGATGATGAGAACCAGTACAGTTTCCTGCGGAGGGTGCATCAGTGGCACCTGGGGCAGGGTGCAGTTCCGGAAATAGCGATCATGCTGGGACATCAGCAAACGCTTGCCTTCTTCGTTCGGCCAGTAGGATCCAAGGGACTCCATCACCAACTCAGTGCAACCGGACAGGACACTGTACGGTCTGGAGGAAAGAGAACATAAAAACATAAGAACATAAGAATTAGAAGCAGGAATAGGCCATTCGGCCCCTCTAGTCTGCCCCGCCATTCAATAAGCTGATCTATTCCAACTCCATCTCCCCTCCTTATCTCTTAATCCCTTTACAAGAAATCGATCAATCTCAGTCTTGAATATGTTCAAGGACTGAGCATCTACAGCCCTTTGGGGTAGAGAATTCCATAAATTCACTACCCTCTGAGTGAAGAAGTTTTTCCTCAACTCAGTGCGAAAGACAAAGAGAGAGAGAGATAGAGAGGGGAGGAGTTTCACGTCAGTGCACGGCAATCCGACTGCCCAGCGCTTACAGAGCAAGAAAATCATACTCTGCTGAATAAAAAGCGACTGCGCACACTTACACAGCGAGGGGTAGTGCCTCGGAGCGCTTAGCAGCGGCGGAGTTTCACTAATAATAATAATAATAATCCTTGGATTTGATATAGCGCCTTATCACAGAGTCGAGGTGTCTCAAAGCGCTTTGTTACTGTAAAGTATGTATTTTGTAGGAGAAACGCGGCAGCCAATTTTTCCGGGCAGCAGCGTCCCACAAACAGTCATAGAGTGAGTGACCAAATTATTATTATTACTGGCATTATTATTTATAAGGATTATTATTTTATGAACATGGAATTAATTCTCCGCCATGAACCATGCCTGAATCGGAGTCTCCAGTTAATTATTATTGAAAGGGCAATTAAAATAGTTGAAAGAAAGAATCTGGGGGTTGTTTGAAGGTTGGGGCACCTGAGAGCAGACAGACGCACCTAATCACCAACGTCCAGTTACACCATTGCGAAGCTCCAATTCTTTCCATTTCAAATGCAAACCTCGGAAGACAGCGATGTTTAGCCCAGAAGAAATTGTCCATAGCTGTTCCAATGAAAGGAAGAAATATCTTTGAGTAACATTTGCCAAAAGAATGCCAGTGCCTGAATCCCCTAACAACCCGTCCACTCCCTCTGCCTCCTTCGAGACCTGTCTCAAGATCCTCCTCTCCAAACGTGCCTTCGGTCACCCTCCTACCCCTACCCTCCCCGCCCTCTACTCCTCCTGATCCCAATTACCATTGCGGGTGCAGATCCCTGACTGCCCAGTGCCTTAGGACATTCTCCTAACACGAAAGGCACTGTACAAATGTAATGGATCCTCTGCTAACTCTACTGCCCCAGTCTATAAATGCTGAAAAGATTCAGAAAGAAGGGGGGGGGAGAGAGAAGGGAAGAGTGAGATAAATGGGAGGAGAGGGGAGGGGAGAGAGCGCAAGTAAATCACAGAGACAGGCCATTCATTCTTTAATATTTCTCCTTCAAGCATCCAACCGTTTAAGGACCATGTTTCAATCTCCACTCCTCTGCACACAATTCACTCTCTCTCTTCTACTATCTGTGGCTAAGCTTTCAGCCCCTGCTCTCTGAAACTTACTCCCCAAATCCCTTTGCCTTTCTTCTTCACTCCCTTTGTTTTTCTTTCGTCAACACCCCTTCCTTTTTCCTTCCCTCCCTCCCTTCCTGCTCAATGGTCTCCACCATCCCTTTGAAGTGTTCTGCAAGGTTCACCCTATGTGTGAGATGGCATGTAAGAAGTTGTAATCTTCTTTGAAACTAAACTGTTTGAAATAACTGCTTTGGCTACAGTCCCGAAAGATCGAGAGTGTACAACGCAGGAAACTGAAGAGAGGAGAGATAGATAGCAGCACATACTTTCACCATACGTTTGCTGCAGGATTGCAACTGTATTTTTGAGCCAGATTATGAGCTTGGTACATATGATTTCAGACGTCCATGTATCATTAATGTTCTCTAGTACGGAGTTGCTTGATGTAAGTTCATTGGGTTGAGTTTCATTGTCAGAGAACGTTCCCCTGTCTGAACACAACAGCAAAAGAAAATCAAGTCTCAGTAAAAACACTTCATACAATAATAATAATAATTTGGTCACTCAATCTACGACTGTTTGTGGGACACTGCTGTTTCAATTGGCTGCCGCGTTTCGCCCACAAAATACACAGTCAATCCACTTGTACAGTCTGCGAAACACCATGATAAGGCACTATATCAAATGCAGGGATTATTATTAGTTATTGTTATGATCGCTTCATATATCCCAAAGCCAAATTGTATCTAGCACCTGCCTGCCCATTTGGCCAAACTTAATTAGCTTCCTGCATCTTTACCCCAATCCTCACCAGGCTCTTCACACATGTTTCAAGTTGTGTCATCAAAACAATGGTTCATTCCCCCACCCAACACACACTTTCTCTGGACTTTGCTCCGTTTCACCCACCCCTAGCCCCACTGTTGGGCAGGCACTCTGCTCTACCTCTCCCAGCACGTTCCCTGGTTGAAGTGAGTGTTCTCAGTCCAGCCTTGAAGGATCTACGAGGCACAATGCTAGAAGCCAAAGTGAGGTGGTAGCACATACTCATTGGGATGCTTTCTGCGACATGTTTCATCGATATTATCCAGTTGAGGAACGCTTCGGTTGGTGGGTAACAAAGATTCTGTGGTGTGAAGTCCCCCACGATGACACTCCATGCTGTTGATCCATTAGCCTGCTCCAGGGTACTTTTGTTGGCGGGGATTTGAGTCTGGGCTGGACACAGAAACATTGAATTTTACTGCTAACCACGTTTCTAAATCACTTTTTTTTAATTAACCTCAGCTCCCGATTCTTCCCCCATATCCTTAATGCTTCACTGTCAAGTGCTTATCCCTTTGTCCTGAATGAGATACCTTAGCAGGTATCTGGACAGACTAGGGTTTGCACCCGAGCTGGGGGTGGAGGATAGGGGGGGGCAATGGGGTGGGAGATGAGGGAGTGGGGGGGTAAAGGAGTTGAGAAGAAACAATGTGGTCAAAAGCAAGAGACAAGGGAAGGGGCAAGTGGGAGGGACTCCAAGATGTGGGGCAGATGCACTGAAGGCCTGACCACTAAGAGATATTGAGTGGTCGTAAGAATATAAACAATGTTTAATGGTTTGCTGACCCAAAGCGGTCATCCGATTAGAAAAACATTCATCCTCTCTTATTCTAGTCTGTCCGTGCTGGCACATTCCCTTTAACATCATGCTCTTTAATCTTTTTGATGCGTTTTATAAATTCCTCATGCACCAATGTAAAATAGATCATTTTAAAGAGCCTTTCTTTCTCTCAGTAAGTGAGAAATGGTAAACTGCTGGCGTGGGCTGGTAACTGAGAGTCTGAGTACAGAACGCGAAGCGCACAGTCAACAACAACAACTTGCAATTACACAGCACCCCCTCACCCAGGGGAGCGTCCCAGCACTTAACAGTGGTGGAGCACGACTCCAAGCCGGGGGAGAGAGAGAGGTGACCGTAGGCACAATCGAATAGGAAGGTCTTCAAGCGCAACCTGAAGATGGGGATGGAGGGGCCATGGCAGAGGGATATAGGAAGAGTGTTCCAGAGTTTTGGGGCGTAGTGACTGAAAGCAATCACTCCACTTTATAGTATATCCCCTTGAAACGCATTAAGACCTCCTCCTGATGTGAAAGGCATTAAACGAAATGGAGGATTATTAATAACATTATCAATAATATTTACTGTGCATCAGAGAGAGGCTGTGAAACATGTTATAAAAGAAGAAATGTTTATACTCACTCAGAGGCAGCAGGAGGGAGAGGAGGAGGCAGCAGAGAATATAGCCTCCACACAGCAGCGACATGGCGGGATCTGAGATCCTAATGTGAGATCTTCAAACACTGTAAAAACAGGAAGAGCAGGCGTGGTGCTGGGAGGCGACGTGCTGTGTGGCTGGACTGACACCGAATCCTCACACAACAAGGCTTTGGCTTGATTATTGCGGACGAAGATGCTTTTAACCCCTAGCAAACACAAGCCGAGCCTTGTTCCCGATTGTGTGTGGGAGCGCGTTTTGGGAGAGAGACACATTTGTGACCGAGACACCAAGTAGTGAAACCAGGACGATGCTTTCAGAACACCAATAAGGCACAGAATCGGGGTTGCAATTAGCAATTTCAGAACAGACGTCAGGGGAAAAAAAAAATTCCCGAGCATAATAAAAAATTGCTTGGAAGGGTGGTTCAGGATGCTGGACTTGTTAAAATAAAACGGCTTGATTTTGGTGGAAGGACCTTAGGGTGGGTGTTCTGGAAGAAGATCAAGTGGGCCGAAGGGACTTCTTCCAACAAACCAATCTGGTGAACCTGACTACAAAATCTCTCACTGATTCACGCTGAGCTCGAGATTTCATCAATGGTGTAATTAATAATAATCCTCGCGTTTGACACAGCGCCTTATCACATCTTTGAGACATCTCAAAGCGCTTCAAAGAGTATACTGTGGTTAGATTCTCTCATTTCTTTTGCTGGGTTTGCTGCCCTGAGGTGTGGTGGTCAGTCAGATAATAATAATAATAATAATCTTTACATTTTACAAAACGCCTTTCATCAGGACGGACATCTCAAAGCTTCATAGGATTTCCTCTGAGGTGTAGTGACTGTGCATTTTGGAGCAATGTCCTTTGAACCGCCATGGAGTGAGTGACCAATTTTATTTGGGCGATTGTTGGCCAGGATACTGGGAGATAGAAACTCCTTTTCCTTTTCAAATAGCGCCATGGGATCTTTTAACGTCCTCCTGAATAAGCAGATGAGACTTCGGGACCTCATCTGAACATTGCATTGGAGTATCAGCCGAGACAATGTGTCTTCAAAGTCCCGATGTGGGGTTTGAATCCTTCTGCTACTGACTGAGCCAGACTGACACACAATAAATAATTGAAACACCATCCAGCTTCAACAGGAAGCCGGCCAATCAACACTGCAACACTTAATTTCCTTTTGTGGCGCCAGTCATTATACCGAGGAAACCCCTAACTTAGCACAGAGCCTCACAATAAAGTGCTACACTCACTGCCAACTGCCAGAAACATTTATCTTGCAAGCAGAAGCTTCCTGGATAATTAGGAAATTCATCCTTTGGATAAGACATTAAACGAAGGCATTAGATAATTCCTCCGAGTAAAAAAANTTATTGGTCGTTCACTGTTTGCAGGACATTGCTGTGCGCAAATTGGCTGCCACGTTCGCCCACAAAATACAGTCACCCCTCTTTACCGTGAAGCGCTTTGGGACGTCCTCCTGACGTGAAAGGTGCTGTAATTATCAATAATAATAAATGGATCTCTAACATCCACCTGAACAGGCGAGCGGACTTCAACAACTCAGCTGAAGGTCGCACCCACAAAATCTAGTCAATTCATTTTACAGTATATCATGTGAAACGCTTTGAGAAATCTCGAAAATGTGAAGCACCATATAAAATCGAAGGATTATTATTATTATTATTAACATTGGGCCATTCAGCCACTCCTCCATTGTTCTACCATTTTATTGTATGTTTCCTGTTTTACTTTCATTGTGTTCAGTCATTATTTTAAGATTAACGCGTGCGAGGGAGAACGCCCGAACAAAGCTGAACATTTTGCAATTAACAGGAGACATGGTGCAGAGGCAGACAGCTCCAGCAGCAACCTTTATTGGTAAATTCAACGTGTGGAATGAAAGAGAAAGATTTTTAATCAATAAACACACTCGGCTCTACCATGGAACAAGTTGGTGAGTGAGTGAGAGTGAGTGAGAGTGAGAGAGTGAGAATGAGAGAGTGAGAGAGAGTGAGAGAGAGAGAATGAGAGAGCGAGAGTGTGAGAGCGAGAGTGTGAGAGCGAGAAAGTGAGAGAGTGTGAGAGCGAGAAAGTGAGAGAGTGTGAGAGCGAGAAAGGGAATGAGTGAGGAAGAGTGAGTGAGTGAGTGAGTGAGTGAGTGAGTGAGTGAGTGAGTGAGTGAGTGAGTGAGTGAGTGAGTGAGTGAGTGAGTGAGTGAGTGAGTGAGTGAGTGAGTGAGTGAGTGCCTCTCAGGAGACTGGGCAGTGATTTCACAACATGGCATCTTGGCCCAAAAGGCAGACCCTGAGCACATTGACAGAGAGAAAGAAAATCTACAAGTTCAGTCTAAAACCTAATGTCTGGCTGACATTCAGTGCTGCGTACACGGGGGAAGAGAAGAGGAGAGGACAGAGGCCCAAACGCCAGCCCGTGCCAAGTGCCAATGACTAACCAGCAAATTAAAAGCAACGGTACAAAATCCCGTTGCGCTTCTGAAAAATAAAACATTTGATATCATTTAAAATTAACGAATGGACATGGATATTACTGGAGGGGTGTGTGTGTGTGTGTGTGGGTGGTTGTGTGTGTTTATGGTGTGAGTGTGTGTGTGCGCGTATTTATGGTGTGAGTGTGTGTGTGCATGCGTGTAATATGTGTGTAGTGTGTGACGCGGAATCTCAGACCTGATAGTGAACAATCAACACAAATGTTAGATGCTCCAAAGACACCAGAGATTCCACCAGGGTTTAGATTCGCCCTGTAAACGGATCGATTCAGTGTGTCCAGAACGTGGCAGATTCTTAAATAAACACAGTATACATATATATATATACATACACAGCCTGATTCAACACATTCGTAATTTTGAAGATCGTTTTCCGGTAAGTTCCTTTTTTGTAAAGAAGCTACAGAATTTCAAAGGGTACAGAGTGAATCCAACAGGTGGTGTATGAGAGCGCAGCGAGATGGCGGAGGGGTCTGAAAGGGAGGGCAAGGATCTTGAATTCGAACTGATGGGGTGATGGTGGTGGGGGGGGGGGGTGAAATGGGGAGCCAGTGGAGCCGAGCGAGCGGGAATGGAAGAAGTGGGGGGAGAAAGGTGGGTGATAGGTTGGTGGAGCCTGGGGTGGGAGAGGACACGGGCGGCAGAGTTCTGGACGGTCTGCGGCTTGTGTGGGAAGATGCTGTGGGAGTCAGGACAGCAGAGCAAACGGTGGGGCAATTATGGACAAGAATTTGAAAGTAGCAGCAAAGTCTCCCAAGTATAATCAGCGAAACATCGACATGTCCCGTGTTGGGGGGGAGGGGGGAATAGAGGGAGGTTGGGTATCGTGACTACGAGTAGCTGGTCTCCGCAGGTTCGGGAAACCGTACACTATATACAAGATTATACAATTAAAAACTTTATACAATGTTTTGCTTATACAACGGACTTGTGAACGGAAGCAGTAAAAAGAAGTAAAAATTCTGGGAAAGCAGCTGATTTGCTTATAGCAGCGGGGGGGCGAGGGGTGGGTGGGTGGTGGGTGTTGGCTTGGAGCCTAGCGGGAGGGTCCTGTTCATGCACCAGGAGCGAGTATTGCGTGAAGCGGGCACCGGTTACAGAGCAGGAGGCTCCGGGTCGCATGGCGCCTCTCCCTGGAACTGCGGTTACGGAGGCAGTTTCTTCTGGGATTCGGCAGCTCGGGTACAGAGGGGGAGACGGAAGGGGGGTGGGGGGGAGGCGGATGGGAGGGGGCCCAGCGGGGGCTTTGGTAGAAAAAANTTGTAATTCTCAAAGAGCGGCTCAGCGACACACAGCTTCGCTCCGAACATGGCTGACGACACGTCGATCGACTGGTGATGAAGGTGCCAGGGAGTGAACGCAAACTCAAAACCACGCTGGATAATGGGATACAATCCCATCGTTTTTCTCCCCCTCCCCTACCATGCCATCCCCACCCCATCCCCACGCCCCAAAATGTAACCTTGTTCCCGGCAAGACTGGAACCGCGCGCTCGGAGCTATTCGCTCCTGGGCTCCTCGTTAATTTTCTCCAGGTTTGCCTCCTTGGGGGGTGCAGGCTGGGAGCTTCCCGAGGGCTCCAGCGGCTTGGCCTCGTTGGTCAGGTAGCTGCCCTTGTGACGGTAATAATAGAGGAAGAGGAAGAGCAGGAAGGCCAGCAGCAGGAAGAGGAACAGAGCCACGAAAACTAGAGACAAGAGCGAGAGAGAGAAAAGGTTACAATCGTAATCTTTTGCATTTGATACAGACGTCTCAAAGCGCTTCACAGGATTTACGGTAAAGAGAAGTGACCATGTGTTTTGTCGGCGAGACACGGCAGCACAATTGTGCCCAGCGGCATCCCACAAACAGCCGTGAAACAAGTGAGACATTTTATTTCGGAGATCGTTGGCCAGGACACCGGGAGAGAGAAGAAAACTCCCTTCTCCTTTTGAACAGCGCCGCGGGATCTTTAACGTCCACCTAAACAGGCAGAGGAGTACTCGCTCTTTTGCTGTGCTCACGAGGACAGGGGGTACTTACTGCCTGCTAGCACTGCACCCAGTCCGTCATATCCAAACCGAGGCGTATCTGCAACAGAACGATCGGTTGAATAATAGTCTTACATTTGATTTTACGTCGGAAATAAGTCTCAAAAGCGCTTCACAGGATTTACTGTAAACTCTAGTTGTTTTATTTGTGCATTCGTCACCTGTCAATCATATAAACCAGTGAGGGAGGGGAGGGGAGGGAGGGAGGGAGAGGGGGAGGGAGGGATTAGGCTCAGTGGTACGCCTCACCTGGGTGGACTTGCCAAGGATCTTCCTCTAGAGAGACAAGGGACAGGGTGACGGGAGGTGCACCACAGTTGGACTCCAGCAGGGTGCCCGAGACATTGACCGTGTGGTTGACATCGCTTCGCAGAGCTGCCTTGATGGGCACAATGCCGTTGAAGCTAAATCCGGCCAGACACCCAGTGAAGCCGGGCGTGTTGAAGCGCTGAATATCCGGGTCCAACACTCCGATCTCTGCAAGTGTAAGCAGGCGATGCGTGAGCACAGCGACCGCCACCCACCCCTCCCCCATGACCCACCGTCCTCTCCCCACACGCCCCAACCACAATACACCATACACCAGACCAGACAGTGTCACGAAACCTCCAAACGTTAGAAAGAAACTAAAGGAACCAAAATGGGACTAGAACACACAACAACAATAACAACTTGCATTGGCATTTATATAGCGCCTTTCACGCTGGGTAGTGTCCCGGAGCGCTTAAGGTACAGGAAGATCTAGGGAGACAGTACCCTGGAGACAAGTGCAATGAAAGAAACCCCAACGCAAAACATGCAGTGACTGCAGAATGTGCAGCAAATGCAGAATGCGTTCCATTCAAGGCACGGGGCAGTGCTGTTGACCCACGCAGTATGGGATACTCATCCACATTTTCAAGACAGAGGTCGATAGATATTTGTTAACGGATAGGGGGCAAGGACGGAGAATTGGAATTGAGGTACAGATCAGCCATGATCTTATAGAACGGCGGAACAGGCTCAAGGGGCTGAATGGCCTCCTCCGGTTTCTATGTGAAAAGCTAGAAATGCAACTCTTACCCATCACACGGCCCAGAAAAAGCGACTTGGGAGAATCAAAATTCTTATCTCCCCACAGAGACAGCTTCTCCCTCATTACAGGCAGCTCGTCCACCTGACGGACACAAGAGTGTTACAATTTCAACACAATGTTCTGCTGCTGTATGTATAAACCCAAGCCACAAATGTAATGACAAGCAAACAGTAACTGGGATTGGCCCTGGTGTGTGTGTGTGTGTGTGTGTGTGAGTGAGAGAGAGAGAGAGAGAGAGAGAGAAAGAAACAGTATAACTCGTTCAATGTGTCCAGGCTTTCTAGGAATATAAGGAATACGCCAAGATTGCCCTGATCGGACAATATGAAACTGGGATGAGCTATTTCCATCTCTTCCTAATGAGGAGGCAAACATATCAATGATCCCTCAAGAGGTAACGTTTTAAATCAAATGTATACACACATACCCACACACACGGTACCAGAGCGGAAAGGACAGATCACAAAATAAATAATAATGATAATAATTAAAATCAAAATAATTTATGAGTTTATCCACTTCCTGAATGTGGTTTTGAAATGTCATAGTCCAGGCATACACGCGCGCGCACACACACGCACGCACACACACACACGCACGCACACACACACACACACACACACACACATACACACAGACTCTCACTCTCAAGCTTATTCATCACTCTTTCAGGTACTCTCTTTGTTTCAGGCTGATCGGTAGTGTGTTTTATAAAAAATAATCATTTGCATTTGATGTAGCTCCTTTATCACGTCTTTGAGACGTCTCAAAGCGCTTCACAGAATATACTGTAAAATGAATTGACTGTATATTTTGTGGGCGTAATGCGGCAGCCAATTGCGCGCAGCAGTGTCCCACAACAATTGTGGATTGAGCGACCAATTTATTATTACTATTAATTTTTTTTTGAAGGAAATATCATCCCCAGAAAAGTGATCTGCCAATCGACTAACAACCGGATTCCTACTTGCTCCTGGGTAAACAGGGGGGTGTGCAGTAAGGAAACTTCAGTTTTTTCTTGATCGAATATTTTTTGATGGGTGGCATGAGTGAAGAAATATTCAATCAAGAAAATTGATTTTTTTGGATGACCATAAAGATCGGCCACCAACTGACTAGAGTCACGGGCAGACTAAGAGCTGAAGTGGTAGCAGATGAGTAGAGGCTCCGTGTACCTGTGTGTAAACCTCGCGGTCTCGCCTGGTGATGTTGACCCGATGAGGTTTGTTGTCCGCCATGTTGTCTTTGGCAATGGTTCTGGTGTAGGGATAGGCAGAGCCACCCAGCCGATAGCGAAGCTCCAGGCTTCCTGTAACGCAGCCACAAACAGCGTCATTCACTCCAACGCACACTCACGGCAGGGAGTGGATCCAATAGTTATGATTCACATAGGGACCAATGATGTAGGTAGGACAGATAGGGACGAGTTGAGGAGCAAGTTCCGGAAATTGGGAGTTAAGCTAAAGACTAGAACATCGAAGGTATTAATATCGGGATTATTACCTGAGCCAGGGGCAAATTGGTAAATAAAAATTAAAGAGCTGAATACCTGGCTAAAAGAATGGTGCGGAGGGCAAGGGTTTCACTTTATAGGCTACTGGCACCAGTATTGAGACAGAAGCTATTCCAAAGGAATTGACTCCACCTCAACAGGGCTGGGACAAATGTCCTGGCCACACGAATAAATAGGGAGGTAGACAGGGCTTTAAACTACTAAAGGGGAGGGGGGGGGCGTAAATTCAATCACACGTAATCCATTACAATTAAAATTAGGACCGATGAAAGTGGGAGAGCAGATTAACCAGGGAAATGAACAAAGGGTGTCAAGCGGGGAAAGGAAGCCCAGGGATAGAGTACTAGTGAAGAGGACTAATAGCCCAAAGTCAGAATTAAAGGTGCTATATCTGAATGCGCAAAGCATTCGAAACAAGAGAGATGAGTTTAATGCACAAATAGAAACAAGCGGGTATGATCTGGTAGCCATCACCGAGACATGGTTACAGGGAGATGAAGGGTGGGAGCTAAATATTCCAGGATACGTGGTGTATAGGAAAGATAGGCAATGTGGTAAACGAGGAGGAGGCATGGCCCTGCTGATAAACAGTAGAGAGGAAAGATTGTACTTAAAGGTTGTACTTAACAACAAGGGGCAGAAAACTCTCGTGGGAGTAGTTTATAGACTCCCAAACAGCAGTCACAGTATCTCTCAGGGTATAAATCAGGAAATTAGCAGAGCATAGAGTAAAGGAAAAACATCAATTGTGGGTGATTTTAATCTGCACATAGATTGGGACAACCAAATTGGGAAAAATATGATAGAGGAAGAGTTTATAGAATGTATTAGGGATAATTATCTGGATCAGTGTGCCGAGGAGCCAACCAGGGAACAGGCCATATTAGACCTTGTTTTGTGCAATGAAGCAGAGCTGATCAGCAAACTGGAAATTAAGGCTCCTCTAGGGCAAAGTGATCATAATACGATGGAATTTAGCATTAAGTTAGAGAGAGAAATAGTTAAGTCCGAAGCAAAGGTTTTAAATTTAAGTAGAGCCAATTTTGCTGGTATGAGAGAGGATTTAGCCAAAATAAACTGGGAAATTAGACTTAAGGATTTGACAGTAGACCAGCAATGGCAGACGTTTAAGGAGATAGTGCAAAATTCCCAGCGAGCACGTATTCCTTTGAGGAATAAGAATGCCACGGGAAAGGTGGCCCAACCGTGGCTAACTAGAGCAGTTAGGGACAGTATAAAGTTAAAGGAAGAAGCCTAATAAAACAGCTAAGATGAGTAGTAAACCCGAGGATTGGGAGAACTTTAGGGATCAACAAAGGAGAACCAAAAAAGTGATTAAGAGTGAATATGAGGGCAAACTAGCGAGGAACATAAGGACAGACTGCAAGAGTTTTTATAAATATATAAAGAGGAAGAGACTGTAAAAGATAAATGTGGGTCAGCTGCAGGCAGAGACAGGGGAAATTATAGTAGGGGACAAAGACATGGCAGAGTCATTAAACTTTGCTACTGTCTTCACCTTAGAAGACACTGAAAACCTACCAAGAATAGAGGGGAACCAAGAAGAAAATGATAGTGAGCAACTTGGGGAAATTAATATTAGTAAAGAAATGGTTTTAGGTAAATTATCAGGTCTTAAAACTGATAAATCTCCTGGACCTGATGGCCTACATCCTAGGGTTTTAAAAGAGGTGGCTACTGAGATAGTGGATGGCTTGTCTTTGATCTTCCAAAATTCTCTGGATTCTGGAACGGTTCCCATTGATTGGAAGATTGCAAACGTAACACCACTATTTAAGAAGGGTGGGAGAGAAAAGATGGGGATCTATAGACTAGTTAGTCTGACATCAGTGGTAGGGAAAATTCTTGAGTCCTTAATTAAAGATGTCGTTATGGGATTCCTGGAAGACCATAACAAGATTAGGCAACATGGCTTTACAAAAGGGAAGTCATGCTTAACTAATCTTTTAGAGTTTTTTGAAGATGTATCTAGCAGGTTAGATAGGGGGGAACCAGTAGATGTAGTATATTTAGATTTTAAAAAGGCATTTGACAAAGTGCCACACAAAAGGCTATTGCACAAGGTTAAGGCCCACGAGATTAATGGGAACATATTAGCATGGATTGAAGAGTGGCTAACGGGTAGAAAACAGAGAGTAGGGATAAACGGGTCATTCTCGAATTGGCAGGATGTGACTAGTGGAGTGCCACAAGGATCAGTGCTTGGGCCTCAGCTATTTACAATTTACATCAATGATCTAGACGAGGACATTGAATGTAACGTATCTAAATTCGCGGATGACACTAAACTCGGTGGGAGAGTAAGCTCTGAGGATGATGCAAAAAGATTGCAACGGGATATAGATAGGCGAGGGGAGTGGGCGAGTAGGTGGCAGATGGAATTTAATGTGGGGAAGTGTGAAGTTATTCACCTAGGTAGAAAAATAGAAAAACAGATTATTTTCTAGAGGGGGAGAGATTAGATAGTGTTAGTGTTCAGAGGGATTTGGGTGTCCTTGTACACCAGTCTCAAAAAGTTAGTTTGCAGGTGCAGCAGCAACTAAGAAGGCGAACGGCATGTTAGCGTTCATTGCAAAAGGTTTAGAGTACAAGAGTAGGGAAGTCTTGCTGCAACTGTATAGGGCTTTGGTGAGACCGCACCGAGAGTATTGTGTGCAGTTTTGGTCTCCTTATTTAAAAAAGGACATACTTGCCCTCGAGGGGGTGCAGCGTAGATTCACTCGGTTAGTTCCTGGGATGAGGGGACTGACCTATGAGGATAGGCTGAATAAACTAGGGCTGTATTCTCTAGAGTACAGAAGAATTAGGGGAGATCTTATTGAAACATATAAGATTCTTAAAGGGCTGATAAAGTAGACACTGAGGGTCTGTTTCCCCGGTAGGAGAATCTATAACCAGGGGTCACAGTCTTAAAATTAAGGGTCAGCCTTTTAGAACAGAGTTGAGGAAACATTTCTTCACTCAGAGGGTAGTGAATTTATGGAATTCACTACCCCAGAAGGCTGTAGATGCTCAGTCCTTGAACATCTTCAAGGCTGAGACTGATAGATTTTTAAAAAACAGAGGGATTAGGGGATATGGGGAGAGGGCAGGTAATTAGCGTTAGGTCTGAAGATCAGCCATGATCTTATCGAATGGCGGGGCAGGGCTCGAGGGGCCGAATGGCCTACTCCTGCTCCTAATTCTTATGTTCTTATGTATAGGTGGCTACCAGAGGTGTGTCGTGTACAGCCGTGTGCAGATAGGTGCACAATGTACACTGTCCAAGAAACAGGTGTGACAGGTGTCATGTACAGGTATGCAATGCGTGGGTTTGTGCAACCTACAGGTGTGACACAGTGTACAACCGACAAATGCTCAACAAAGAGGTGTGAGGTGCAGGCCGGTGTGTCGGAGCGTGTCCTCACCATCGTGTCTGATGACCACGGCCATGTAGTCACGTGTGTAGGAGCTGACGTACAGCAGAACTCCGGGCGGCTGCTCTGTGGAGAAGCTGAAGACAATCTCCTCGTTGGTCAGGTTGTGGCCGGGGATCAAGGGGAGCATCAAGTTGGCCATTGTGCCGGCCACAGCACTCACCACTGACTGGAACGAGTAGCGGATGTAGGTGCCAGGCTCGAAATATCCTCCTACAACTGCAACAGCACGAGACAGGCATTAGGCTACTCGCGTGTGTGTACAACAATCAATCAGCTTCCAGTAAACAGCACCGCAATCAAATCAAAGAATTATTATTATCATCATTATTATTATTATCATGACTCAGAAGCGAGATTGCTACCGCCTGAGCCAGGCTGACATGTTACTGCAGGGAACTGAGTCATAATAATAATAATAAAGATAATAATAATCCTTGCAATTGATAGAATATCATGGAGACATTGCAAAGCACTTCACAGAACATACTGTAAAGAGGATTGACTGTGAATTTTGTGGGTGAAACGCGGCAGCAATTGCGCACAGCAGCGTCCCACAAACAGTCGCCGATTATTTTATTTATTTGTTTGTCTGTTTGTTTATCTATCTATCTTGAAGGGGTTATTACCCCCATCCCCAAGCAGAAAGGGTTCCTGCTTACTTCTGATTGAACAGAGTTGTGTGGAGTAAGGAAGCTTGCCTAAGATTTCACCCTGCGGGGGGTGGAGGGGGTGGGTAGGGGAGACGAGGGTGGGAGGGGGACACTGGGGAATGGGGCGAGGTGGTACCCTTGCTGCAGAATGGTCCATCGAAGGCGCTGGCATTGCAGTCGCACGTGTAGGTGCTGTAACGCTCGATACAGCGGCCTCCGTTCTGACACTCCACCCGCGGCTTCTCACAGTGCCCCACGCAGCCCGCGTTCACCCCCTCGGTCTCATTGGCTTTTTTCTCCAGGTCCAGGATCTCCCCGTTCATCTTCAGCCCCCGGATACAGCCGAAGAACGCCTGGAGCCTGTACTCAGCCGCGCCTGTGATAGAACAGCACAACCGTTACAGTCATTGTCAGAGCGCAGAGAGACACCTCCCCAACAAACACACACAGCCAGGTGTCTGATACATGGGGAAACCCACCACCGTCGCTTAAGAGCCTCCGAACCAAACCGAGAACAACAGCAACAACAAATTTACATTTAGGCACAGGACAGTCTGTGTTTCGGACCCGAGCTGGTGGTCGGGGTGGGGGAGGGTGGAGGGCAGGGGTGGAAGCAGGGAGATCGACAGCACGGTCGAAGAGGAGGGTCTTGAGAAGGGTCTTGAAGGAGGGGGACGAGGCGGAGGGACTGCGGGATGGAGTTCCAGAGGGTGGGGGCAAAGTGGCGGAAGGCCCATCCAGCAACAGTGGGGCGAGCCAGGCGGGGGACGTGAAGCAGAGGGAGCGAGTAGGATAAGAAATCCTTGCATCCCACCTACACATGGGAATCCCAGAGAGAGATTGTTGGAATGGAATGCACTCTCTCTCACTCTCTGAAGGGACGCTTCCTGTTTACCTAATTCCTGGACTGTTAGGCTTAGTTTGGAAAGAGCCGCGGCTTGGAGGGGGTAAGAGAGGGGCAGCGCGAAGGGGGGAAACCAAGCGTGTGGTGACTGTTGGGAGACTGACCAGCTAAAAACTGCACAGCTTGCCATGGATCGCGGAGGGCAGCGGTGGAGGACGGTGAAGGGACTTACCCACAAACAGGGGCTTGTTAAACCGCAGGTTGACGTAGCTCTGGGGGGGAGCCTCTCTCCGTTGCCACGGCAGCTCGTCCAGCTTCAGGCGGGCGAACACCACGTTGATCTCGGCCTGTACCCAGTGCCAGTCGTCGTCGTCCAAGGCAACGGGTGACCTGGCCAACAACTGCTCCTGGCCATCGCCGACGTCAAACACAAGAGCCACCTCCCTGTTAGCTGGTCAGGGAGAGACAAGACTGTGGTGACGTGCTGTTCGGGTTACGCAGGCACACACACACACGCACGCGCACACACGCGCGCACACACATGCGCGCACACACACATACACAAAGGGGTGGGGGGTGGAGGGGTGTTGAGCTGCACAACAAACAATCCAGAGGAGCAAAGAATGCTGTGCGCTGAGGGTAATAATAATAATAATATTGCATTTGATGTAGTGCCTTATCACGTCGTTGAGATGTCTCAACCTTTTGTGGGAGAAACGCGGCAGCAAAACCACAAACAGTGACCAAATGATTTTTTTTTTTTATTTGTGGATTGCTAGAAATGTAATTAACGTGACGGGAACCCACAGCACTGCACTGTCCGACCGTCACACGACACCGCACAGCACAGATACTTTGATAGACGCGGTTCCACGTCAGTCGCTCGGCCGCAATGCGGAAGCGGAATAAGCCAACATGGGGGAGTGAAGCTTACAGCGTAGCTCCAGCCGGATGAAGTCGACGATGCCCGAGTTCTCCAGGAAGACTCCTGAAGAGGACGTGGTCTTGAAGTAGAACGAGATGTCCAGACTGGGGCCGGGCATGAAGGTGGGAAAACTCAGGTAGTTCCCGTGTACAAAGGAGGCAACGTTCCAGGAGCCACCTGCAGAGACACACACAGAGACAGGTGATGACAACAACAACAACAACTTGCATTTATATTGCACCCCTCACGCTGGGTAGCGTCCCAAAGTGCTTAGCGGTTACGATCGCTGCGTGAGACAGGTAACAATTACAACACTGCCTTCAACAACAAATGACATTTGTATAGCGCCTTTCACGTCTGGAGGACGTTGCAGTTATACGGTCACTGCATGGGGCCGGAGACAGTTACGATCTCCGTGCGTCTCACTCCACAACTGTTTGTGGGGGTGGGTGGTGGGTGGTGGGGGGGAATGCTGCTGTGCGCAATTGGCTGCTGCGTTTCGCCCACAAAATATACAGTCGATTCGCTTGGCAGGGTATCCTGTGAAGCGCTTTGAGACGCGATGAAGACGTGAAAAGGCGCTGTGTCAAATGCGAGGATTATTAAGGATTATTATTACTTACCGTCCCCGTAGCAGCGCAGGGGGCCGACATGGAACCTGGCCTCGGAGCCTGTGCGGTTGGTGTCACCGATGACCACTTTAGTGACCGGCAGGTGCTCTCTGTACTTCAACAAACCCCTGTCAGCGTTCCTGGTCATGAACAGAAAAAATTAGAACCAAAGCCTCGCCTCTCATTCCCTTCCCCCCACGCCCCAACGTACAGCGATGTGGACCCAACCAATTGTTCTGATGCTGAACAACAGCAACTTGTGTTTATATAGCACCCCTTCACGCGGGGTAGCGTCCCGGAGTGCTTCACAGTGGTGGACACGGACAACGAGCCAAGGGGAGAAGGGAGGGAGTAGGGGGAGGTGACCATAAGCACGATCAAAAGGGAAGGTCTTTAGGCGGGACCAGGTGGGGAGGGAGGGGGCAAAGTGGAGGGATTGAGGGAAAGAGTTCCAGAGTTTCGGGGCACAGTGGCTGAAGACACCGATGGTGGAGCGGAGGGGAGGGCACGAGGGGGAAATTAGGAGGCTGGAGCCAGCCGAGAGGAGGCAGCAGGTGGTGGAGGGGGGAGTGGGGGGTAAGTAGGTCGGATAGGTAGAGAGTTGCGAGGAAATGAAGTGATTTAAAAACGAGTGAGAGGATCTTGAAGTCGATCCGTTCGGGTGATTGGGAGACAGTGGAGCCTGGCTAGGACTCACCACTGCTTGTAATCTGCGTCGCAGTTGCAGTAATACTTGGGGTCACTGCAGCCCCTGTGCATCCCACAGGAGCAGCGCTGTACCCATGGGCTGGCATCGCCCCAGTAGAAATGCTTCTCAGCCTCCCGTCCCAGCCACCATGCGTAGGGCAGCCCAGCTGGAGACAAAGAACACGCTCACTATCAGGCTCTGCCGAGGTGATGACACACATACACCCGCCCATACACGGACACACACACACGGACACACACACACGGACGCACAGAGCAAAAACCCTGTGCCGAGTTATACATGTAAAGAAAAAAATTGGTTTAAGATCAATGTTGTGTGCCCCAAGACCTGTACCCTTTAGGCAAATTTCTCCATATTAGTAATAATATTATCAATAATAATCCTTGTATTTGGCATTTCGCCTTATCACGTCGGAAGGACGTCTCAAAGCGCTTCACTGTGAAATGGAGTGACCGTGTATTTGTAGGCAAAAGCGGCAGCACAATTGCACACAGCGACGTCCCATAAGCAGCTGTGGAGCGAGTGACTGCTTTTATTATTTTTATTTGGGCGATTGTTGGCCAGGACACCGGGAGAGAGAAACTCCCTTCTCCTTTCCAATAGCGCCGCTATTCCACTTGTAGAGGCAGACTTGGTTCAACACCTTGTCCAAAGAAACACACCTCTGAGTGTCAGCTTAGTAATAATAATAATAATCCTTGCATTTGATATAACGCTTTATCACATCTTTGAGATTTCTCAAAGAGCTTCACAGAATGTTCTGTAAATTGACTATTTTGGGTGAAACGAGAATATTGCAGTCAGCGCCCTGTGTGGCGTTTTGATCCCAATATTACACTAAGCTGCTCTGAAGCCAGGTCTCAGTTATGGCTGATGCTGAATTGGGAGTTTCTGTTTGGTGTTAACTCTGAGTTACTCACAGGGACTGTTCAGGAGTCGCGACCTGTAACAAGAGAAGGCAATTTTCTGTTCGCAATACTCAGCCCCCAGTGTGATGGCAGCGATCTCCTCCTCTGTGTTGTTGTAGTAATCGATGTGACCCACGAATGGCTTCTCCAGGCTGGAGCCCGTCACCTTGGTGTCACGCTCCTGTAGGTGGAACACTGTGGTCCAGGCCGTGTCCTCTGCCAAACAAGCAGCTCCATCAGTACGTCAGCACTTTGGCCCAACTCCAACTCTAACCCTGACCCCAACCCCAGCCACAACCCTGTCTGATAGTGATGGTGCTGAACTCCTGCTATAAAGAGTGGGGGAAGGTGACACTGATTCTTGACCCAGTTCCACAAGCTGGTCGTTAGTTATTTAGAGAATCAGTCAGTCGATCACAGGGAGGAGAGATTCAGGATTTTAAGCCTCCGCAGAAAATGTGTAGACAGCGTTGAGACTGACACACCATATTCTACTTCCAGAGGAAAGGTTTTCGAACGTGAAATTGTCCCATCGGCCTACAGTCAAGCTTGTTGTGTTGAGTTGAACAAGTTTGACCTGCTCTGTGTAGCAACAGTTAGTGGGCAGAGAGGGAGCCCGAGCCAGAACCATTCTGGGAAGGAGTGTGGAGTGTCGGGGGAGTCAGAGGACCTGGGGAAGGGCCTCGTTTAGCTGATGATGAACTAGCTACCTGTCATTGTGCAGTAAACCACAAAGGGCCGGGCGGAGCCACTGCCGTCCGGGTCGATGGTGTAGTTTCCTGATGTTCTGACCCCAAGAAGCCGATAGTGGTGGCAGGACTCCGGATAGAGAGCTTCCCACACATAGACAGGAGGAGGAAGTGAGAGGAGTGGGTGGGGGAGTGGGAAAGATGAGAGACAGGAAGAGAAACAAAAGCAAAGAGAACAGATCCAACTTTACACGTTCGGTTATGGCTCACTGATGTGCTCCACTTGCAACAGGAAAAGTTCTCCCCGAAACTTGCAGTCTCCGAAATGCATCACAGAACATGCGTGCACTGCTGAGAGCACGCATGAAGCACAGGTGACATACCACAGCACACGTGAAGCACATGCAACACCGACATATCACCTGTAGCCCGTCAGTTGCTTCTCTCGGCACAAGTTCAGCAAAGGAAAATCCCTTTGCTCGAATATTTATTCCTACTGCTGTATATAGAGACCAGTAGTGTGTGTGTTTGCGTGTTTGTGTGTATGTGTTGTGTGTATATAAGGTACTAGGTACTTACAGTTATGGCAGGTCGGTCCTTTGTACCCCGTCCTATGGCAGTCACATTCAAAATTGTCCCAGGTCTGTATGCAAATCCCACCATGTTCACACAGGTTCGGGGTGCACCTGACACCGTCAGGAGGAAAAAAGACAATCTTACACAAGAGCAGCACAAAATACTGAGCGGACTGTTTTTGGGACACCGCTGTGCGCAGTTGGCTGTCGCGTTACGCCCATAAAACGTACTGTCATCACACTTTACAGCAGATTCTGTGAAGCTCTTTGAGACGTCTTGAAAACTTGACAAGGCGCTGTATCAAATGCAAGGATTATTATTATGCCCGGCTACAACGCTCAGCATGTCAGCCTGGTGAGGCTTCCTCTTGTCTAACCATGTGGAGTGGCTGCTTATTGACCCTTGCACGGACTTGCTCCTCCCTACCTCCCCAACCTCCGATCACCTCACCAACCTGCCTGCTCTTTCCGCTCGGCGGGGACTGGGCTGCTTCACGTCCCCCCAGCCTGCCCGCCCCTCCATTGGCGGTCGAACCTTCAGCCTTTCTGCCTCCACTCTCTGGAGCTCCATCCCACACCCCCCTTCACCTTGCCCCCCACTCGCTTGCTTCCTTCAAAGCCCGTCTCAAGACCCTCCTCTTTGACCGCGCCTTCGTTCATCCACCCACCCACTCACCGCCATTCTCCTTACCCTCTACCCCTCTAGACTCCGGCCCCCAACTCGGGTGCAAACCCTTGGGACATCTTCTTGACATGAAAGCCTCAATATAAATGCAATTTGTTGTTGTTGTTGTTGTTGATGATGAGTCAAGTGGTAGTTTTTAGCTGTGAAACTGGACGGAGTTGCTGCTTTGTGCTGTGAAACATGGCTATGTTATTGATGTCACTGCGTGGCTGTGCTCACCTGTCTGCTATCCCACACGTGTTGAAGAGCATCTCGGCGTAGCTACCCAGTCTGCGCCGCTTTACCAGCTCCAGGTCTACCAGCCGATTCTCCACCCGGATCTCCTGCATACAGCCGTGGAAGGTGCTCAGGTTTGACGAACAGCCATAGGCTCGGACACGTTTGGGACAGCCTGAAAAGGGACGCAGAGTGAGCTGTCATTAGAAGCTACCACATGGCTGGGGCTGCTGTAACCACTGGACACAATACAATACAAAATTATATTTACACAGCGCCTGCCTTTCACATCGGGAGGACGTCCCAAGGCGCTGAACGGTCAGGGATTTGGAACCGAGCTGGGGGAGGGGTTTGAGGTAAGGGAGGGTGGAGGGTGGCCGAAACCACGGACGAAGAGGAGGGTCTTGAGACATGCCTTGAAGGAGGGAGCGAGGCGATAAGAAACAAAAACAAAAAGGCAAGGGTCTCAGACCTTGAGCTCTCAGCCCTGGAGGTCAATCTGTGCTGAGTTACTGCTCTTGGATACACAGTGGCTGAGATGCATTTGGTCTCAGTAGCCTGTGATCATAGATCGATTAGGGTACAGAGGGACCAAGAGATATCCAGGCACCAGGAAGTACGTACCTCCCAGGAAGTAATAGTCTCCGGTAGAGACCCGCAGGGCGCTGTTGATCCGCACGGCTGCACCTTCATCTTCATCAATGGTAACAATAACGGTATCCATTCTGGCTGTGAGCTGCAGGGAGTGCCAGTGTCCGTCACTCATGTTGTGTCCTGTACAACAGGGAGCAAAGCTGGCAAATCACCGACTGTAACACTACAGTGCTACATATGCCTCCTGCCACCACAGCGAATAGAGCAGCGATGGACAGTCAGGGATTTGGAGCACAGATCGAGAGAGCTGGAATAAGGGAAGGTGGACAGGGAGGGTTGGGTACCTGCAGCAAACTCGAGGGTTTTGTGGCCAGTCTGCAGGAAGGTGATATTGATCTGTCCGTTGCTCAAACCCATCTCGAAGGAACCAACCCCGTCTGAGAAGTTGCTGAAGAGTAACATGCCACTGTTGTCAAAGGATCGGAAGCGGAAGCTGAGGGTGAACTGGCTCTGGCTGGGGTATGACGGCACCTGGATGTAGCTGTTGGGTGATGAAAAGGTGATCGGGCTGAAGGGGATCTCGTGGTAGAGCAGATCTGGACAACGGAACATCACGTCACCCTAAAGAGAGAAAAACAGCACAAATCGCTAACACAACAGGCTGTAGAATTCGAGTCACACACTGTGGCGGGGTAGGGAGTGTGACTGACAGACAGGGAGAGAGTATAGTGTGATAGACAGACAGACAGAGTGTGTGTGACTGACAGACAGGGATAGAGTGTATGTGAACAGGGACACGCAGGGAATGGCTCACTAAGTGAGCATGGGAGTCAATCTCTCACCGTGGTGTGGATTTCCAGGTTCTTGGCTCGGGCCAGAGCAGACACACTGACGTTATTGTACATGATGTTCTCCAGGCAGCCGCGGAAATTGGCCTTCTCCTTCAGTCTGTGCTTATCACCAGTTACCATCCCACCAAAGAAAATCTGTCAAAACAAGACGACACTGTGTCAGCACATCTGTCTCAACAGGATTCAGACCTGCGTCTGAGTCACCTCACCGAGCCACTCACCACAGCACTGAGCTGCCAAGTCAAAAACTCAAACTCAAGCACCAAATAATAATAATAATAATCCTTGCATTTGATACAGCGCCTCATCACATCTTCGAGACGTTTCAAAGCGCTTCACAGAACAGACTGTAAAGTGAATTGACTGTGTATTTTGCGGGCGAACCGCGGCAGCCGATTGCACGCAGAGGCATCCTCGCAAACAGTCGTGGGTTGAAGTGACCAATTTATTATTTTTATTCTTTATTTTTAATTGTACATGTTGATTATTAAGTTTCAATTGTGATCTGGATGAACATTTGCCAACAGCCTAAAATGGCTCTTCATCCACACCCATTCCCTTCTGTGCCAGCCCTCCTTAACCTCTACTATAACCTTACCTGCGAATCCAAGTCCAGGTGATCAAAGTTCCCATTGCAGCGGATGTGTTCAACATCACCATCAAGCGTCAGATTGACGTAAGGTCCATAGCGCTCAATAGTCACCATGTGCCAGTGATCGTCATCGAGCAGACTCCCAAGTGTGACCAAGGTTTCACCATTCACTAAATGAACATTACTGCTGCCTGAGGAGGTAAAGATAGTGAAGAGCGAGGATAACTAATCAAAGAAACACACCAATAACCCTCTTACCACCCCCCTCAAATCACAAACAAATGCACGAAGGAAATTCAACTTTGCTGTGTGTGAGTGGGGGTGGGGGGGGTGGGGCCAACCTTTGCTGTGCACGTAATTTGACTATAAAAGCAGTTACTACACTTCAAATAAAAATAATCCTTGCATTTGTTATAGATATATCAGAGCCTTGGGACATCCACCCAACGAGAAAGGCGCTTTACAAATGTAATTTTGGATTTGCAGAGCTCTATCACGCTGTTGAGAGTCTCAAAGCGCTTCACAGATTATATTGTGAAGTGGATTGACTGTATTTTTCTGGACGAAACGCGGCAGACAATTGCGCACAGGAGGATCCCACAAACAGTCCTGGATTGAGTGACCAAATAATTACCTGTTAAGTACTTATTTGACAGTAACAAGGAGCTATAAACAAGCACACTTTGTTCTTTATCTCACATTCCTCTAAGATATCACAAATCACACAACCCGTCCCAGTTAAAGCAGAACTGTACCTAGATTGATGTGAAACAGCAGTCTCGCTCGCTCAAGCTCCACCGTAATGTAATCTCCCTCCTTCCCTTCACTGTGCAAAAGCAACCCATCTGTCTCCAAGGTCTTAAAGTTGAAGGAAATGCTGTCCCTCAGTGTGTGTGTGCTCTGGCTATTTCCAAACTTGTAGGAGAGCGTGGAATTGCCATCAAAGGAGCTGACTTCCGAGTCTGAAAGTGAAGGGCAGAAAATATTACACAAGCCAAAAATAAACAGGGGTTTGTGAGTGGACTGGTCACCTGTAGCTCACGTATCGTCTTAAATAAGAGCTTCAAAATATTTCCGTTATCTCAGAACACACCAGTAATTTAAAGTCAGATTTCTTTCGCTATTCAAAAAGGTGAGATTTTCACAAAATCAGCTTTAACAAAATAACTCACGCACATATTTCTCATAATGTCTTTTTCTCGATTCACCTCTTGGAGAATGTCGGCGTGTGTCAATTATTACAACCACTTACTTTGGTGTGATTTACTGTGTCCAATTCATTCTCTAACGTCCTCCCCATTGGCACAAGCCTCTGCCCCTAATCTCCAGTCTCTGGTACCTGCTGTTGATGCGGGAGCCTCGGCAGTGAGTGTTGAGAGGACACTTGACCGTAGAGGGCACTACACTTGAGCGCCGCATCTTCTCACCTGACTGCCGTACATCTGGATACCAGTAGAGGGTGCAGAAGAGAAACCCAAACCACCAAACCATTGCAGTCGAATTAGAATTGCTTAATTATTAAAGGCCCAAATCGTGTTGCAGGCAATGTAATAAATCAAATCCCTGTGAAATATGAGTCGGTGCGTTTTCTCCTGTGATAAGTCATTTGTTTCTCATGTGTCACTGTTATCAAGATTGTGCAATAAGAGTTCATTTCATTCCATTGTGTTGATCAAAGTCATAATATTAATAATTATGACATTAATCTCTACATTTGGTGTAGCACGACAAAGCGAATCCGCAGAAGCATTTTGAGACATTCCTCCCGCTGTGAAAGGTGCAATACCATCAGCAACTTATACACGTACACAGCGTCCTGCACGCGAGGTAGCGTCTCGGAGCGCTTAACAGTGACAGGGGTTTGATGCTGAGCCAGGGAGAAAGGAGGTGACCTTCGGCGAGGTCGAGTAGGAAAGTCGTCATGTGCCATCTGAAGATGGGCAAGGCGGGGGGATTGAGGCAGAGAACTCCAGAGGTGTGGGGCTTAGGGGCTGAAAGCACAGCCATAGATGGTGGTTGAGGAGATGGGACGTAGATAAGGCCCAACCCGGCCGAGCAAAGGGCAGGTAGAGGAGTGTATTGTGAGCAGGGTGCAGAGGCAGGCAAGTGTTAGGACATGAAGTGATTTGTAGGTGAGCGCGAGGATCTTGAAATCGATCCATTCTGCTCACTGCAGAATCATACCTTTTCCTCCCGTCAGGTTCAACTTGGAAAACGTGACCAAATGGTACAAATCAAGGCATCGTATCCGTTACCCCTTAAATTTATTGCGATCTCCATGTCTTGGGTAAAATTACTAGGGGAATGCATCATTTATGCTGCACAAATGAATTTCTTTTTCACAGTCAAGAAAATTTGGTGCTCGGCCACCTTGGATGCTGGTGAGTGCAGGGCGTGCATGTAATGTGGGTGTTGATGTGAAGACTCTGTACTAACCATACGGACAACCAAACACCTCCACTCGCAGTCCAACAGCATGTCCTCGCCTCCAGCTAATGGCAACAAAGCGCACAAACTGTGCCAGGACGGGCCGCCACAGGAGGTGTCGCTTCTCTGTGTCACTATCCTGGTTCCCTGCAAAGGTCTGTAACACACAGGAGAGGGCGAGCAGAGAGAGAGAGAGAGAGGAAAGGGAGAGGAAAAGGAGAGGAAAGGGAGAAGAAGAGAAGGGAAAGAGGAGAGAGGGTGAATATCAGCCAACGTTTGATGGAAAGAACTCATTTTCGTAAAACTACTGCAAAGAAGACAACGATTGCGAGGATATATAATGTTATATTATATATATTATAATATAATATATTATTATATATAATATATATATTATAATATAATGTTATAATAATAATCCTTGTATTTGATATAGCACCTTATTAGGTCTTCGAGACGTCTCAAAGCTCTAATATACAGAATATACTGTAGAGTTAATTGACCGTACATTTTCTAGGCAAAACGGGGAAGCCAATTGCGCACAGCAGCGTCCCACAAACAGTCGTGGACACTCTTATCATTTATTTTTAAAAAATTGAAAGGAATTATGACCCCCTGGAAAAGCGATCCACCAATTAACTGACAATCAACTGCTGGGTAAACAGAGGCGCGAATGGTGTAAGGAAACTTGCCCAACGTTTCGCCCTGCCCAGGAATGGAACCCAGGTCCTCTCGTTTGTGAGGTGAGCGCTCTAACCACTGAACTACAGGACTCCAATTTTTATATTATTACAAAATATAGAATGTAGCATTTAGCCTCAGGACTTGCCCAGTTATGTCCCTGCTGGTAGAAAGGCTTCCAGTTCTTTCCCTGGTCGCTGTAGAGGAACAGGTACTTGGTCACCCAGTCGTTGGAGTTGTAGGTTCCTTGGGTGGAAATGGCGATGATCTTTGATTTTGCGACAGGTTGACCTGTAACCAGGGCAACCGATCGGAGGTCTGGGGTGACCACCCACCGCTGCCTGCAACACAGTGAGACGTCAACGGGTCAAGTGACAACAACAAGTTGCATTTACGCAGTGCCCTTCACACAACAACAACATCAACCACTTGCATCCTGACAAAAGACTATCGACCTGAAACGTCGACTCACTTTCCTTTCTCTCCATAGATGCTGCCTGACCTGCTGCGTGTTCCCAGCGACTTCCGTTGTTTTAAGTTCAGATTTCTATTGCACTATTTTGCCTTTTCCATGTATTCAGCGCCCAGACAATGACAAAAGGCCCCAAATGCTCTTGCAGTCTCGGCCATAAAACTGTCAAGGTTGGAGGTCATCATTTTGTTGGAAATTCTCAGATTCAACCTTGATTTTGAAGCGGTTTCGGTTCATGTGAGCTTCCAGACTGAAACCGTGAGAAATATCAACTGTGGCTTATTCTCTCTCTTCGTCTCTCTTTCTCTAACTCGGTTTGTGGTTTTATGATATCTCATTGCATTGAAACTCTTTTACTGGAATTTGCTGTCACCATTCTTACCACCCGCTTGACCGACTTTCATCGCACAACAACAACAACAACTTGCCGTGATATAGCGCCCTCTCACCCCGGACGGCGTCTCGGAGCGCTTGAGATACAAAAAGATTTATTTTCTTACCTTGAAACCTCCCATAACTGGGAGTGTACAAAGCTGAGTAATAGGAGGAAGCCGTGAACGAGCTGGAGTATTGCTGCTGCACCAGCCGTTCTACGCACCGTTCTGCAAACACAATCCAGAAACACATCGCTCAGTCATCCGCACCAGCAACCGGCAACTTCGCTGCTTAAACGTGGCTCCGTTTTGGGTGCTCCACCCACGTGAGGCAGGACATATGAATATCCGGGATAAATGGGAATTGGCCTATGACGTGAGGCTGAACAACCTGGGTATTGACAAAGTGAATAGGAAACTAATCTACGCTCTTCTCGGAAGTATCTCTCTCTCTTTCTTATCTGCTCGTAACCCCCACTCCACTGTCCGCCGCCTTCGCTCAGCAGTCAACACACCATGATCGGTAGCCCACACCATCTTCGGTGATGCCATCAGGGATGCTGTTGGCACAGCACTGTGCTGTAGGTCTCAGTGTAGAGTTTCTGACTGCAGTTCTGTGCTGCAAGCCTGTTAGACTCTGTTCCTAGTACAGTGCTGGGCTCTCACACAGCAGCCACTGAGAGGCTCTGAGCAGTTGAAGCAAAATCCGCTTTCACCAATTAATCAGAGCAGCACATCTGGGCTAGAGATTAGGCTATATTTAGCCCAGAGCAGCCCAGGATCCTGGGTGTACACACGTTCCCAAAACTATTCTCTGAACCCTATCTGTGCTGCAATTGCGCACAGCAGTGACCCATAAACAGTTGTGAATTGAGTGAGCAACTTTCCATCAATGTTGCCACATTTCATTTAACACCGAGCACCTTAATATTTTCCACACCTCTTATTGTAGCACCTTATCAAATACCTTTTGAAAATCCGTCTGTATAACATACACTTAACGCATTTAATTTGTCCAGCACGACAAACCCAAGCCAACTATCTTTAATTAACCCACATACCTCTTCATGATTACTCATTTTATCATATGTTCTATGTCATGTGGACGTTAAGGATTCTGTGGCACTGTTCGAAAAAAGAAGGGAGTTTCTATCTATCTCTCTCTCGCTCGCTCTCTCTTTCTCTGTCCCAGTGTCCTGGACAACAGTCCCTCAGGTGAAATTGTTCAGTCATTTCATGGCTGTCTATGCGATATTGCTGTGTGCAAATTTGGCTGCCGCGTTCACCCACAAAAAAACAATGTATTCACAGTATACTCTGTGAGGCTAATCTCTAGCCCAGATGTGGTGTTTTGAAATGTGTTCCCATATTTGAAAGACACGATATCAAATACCGATAGGAACTAATGCCCTTTCTATCTTTATATCAATACTCTTGAGGTCCCTTGGCACCCATCGTCATGTCCCACTATTCCCCAGGTGATTCGGCCAATATCATCTACAAACAGAGCATTAACACGCAAAGCTCCAGAACTCAAATGCTTTCAGCACAGTAGCGAGACCAGGCCACAGAAACCATAGCGTTTGCTAAACACATAAATTCCACGTCCATCGGATGCATTTGTAATCCACAAATCCTGCAATGCCATTGTAGGGCAGAATATTCCAGCAAGGAATCTGCTTTGCTTCTGGAACATTCTGCAAGCAGATTTAATGCGCGATTTGACGAATGGGCATCTGTACGCCTTATACATCCCTTGTACCAGTGAATCAACTGTTCCATTTAATGGATGCCACATTTCCAGTAAAACCTGAGCTGGTTTTATCTAATTAAATTCTACATTGGCTCTTACCAACCTGTACCTCAACTCTCCAGGGTTAGATAAACAGGGTGCATTGGGAATCCTTACACACACACACTGTAAACTGGATACCTGACATACTATACACTGTGATAGCTTACACACAATGTCAACTGGATACCTTACACGCGCACACACTACACTGGGATAGGTTATACACACAATGTAAATTGATACCTCTCACACACACACACACGCACACAAGACTGAGAATCTCACACACACATTAGACTGAATACCTAAACACACACACCATGGGATCTTTAACATCCAACTGAACAGGCAGACAGAACCATCTAAAGGGCTGCACCTCAAACAATGCAGAACACCCCCAGCACTTCTTTGGAATATCAGCCAAGCCTACGTGAGTTCGATGTCCTGACGTGGGGTTTGAACCCACAACCTTCTAACTCAGAGGCAAGAATGCTACCAACTGAGCCAGGCTGTCCCTATCAATCAGTAACAGTTAGTAAGACTAAGAGCAACTGAAATTTGAGGCGAGTTTTCTAACCACTGAGCTACAGTCCTATATGCGTGGACTTGGGACAAGGAACATTTCAGGCTCAACTCCTATACATTCCCATCGGCCCCCTCCCCATAAAATTCTCTGTCCACACTCACTAACAAGTCTCACCCAGAGAAGTACTGGATGCCACCTGAGGAACTGATTTCAACATGAAATAGCTCTAAAATCTCAGTGTCCTATCCCTGCACTCAGCCATCTATCAGACGCCCATTCCACAGTAATGAAGTGGCTTTAAATCAGAGTACGTGTAAATCTCTTGCGAATATGTTTTTCCTTTAACAGACAAAGTGTGCTCCTGGGAATGAATGACTGGATGTATAATGTACATTAGATTTAGCGTTTCCATTACAGTTGTGTCCAAGAGGTGGAATGTAAGGAGAAATACATATGGATGATTTTTTTCTCTCCCCGTTAATTCTTCAACTATTGAAGAGTATTGGGACAGCGACAGTGTGAAAATGAAAGGGGTGTGAGGAGAGGAGCGAAAGCGCTAGGCACACTATTCCTACAACAACAACAACAACAAATTACATTTGTATAGCGCCATTCACGTCTGGAGGATGTCCCAAGGTGCTGCATCTTCACCCTTGTTTTGCACACAGACAGACCGAGGAGGGGGAAGTGAAGGACTGAAGAACAAATCAAATGATTCCATACCCCGGGTACCATAATGCTGGGAAGTGACCAGAGACGAATATAAAGCAGCCTTAGACAATAATAAGGCTAATAAAAGTGATGGGATGCTGCAGGGCTTTTTATTTTGGCAAATCATCTATTAGGGCCACAAATGCAACACATAATACATTGCCATTGCCCATAAGGGCGACTTAAATGATTCGAATCACTCAGGGAAATGCAAACGAGATGGAATCTGGGAAGTTTAAAATACATGTGGAAGAAATCAATTCAAATTTAATTCGATTTTGCAATTAGGTTTGTTTTTGGGTGGTGTGACTTTGCCGTCTCCTTCAAATCGCACTGTCAGTTCCTGAGTTGTGCGGGTTGGTTTTTTTTGCTGTAAGCATAAAGTAGAATAAAGATGCCTTTTTTTGCGAGCAGTCTGTGCACTGCTCTCCCGGTGCAGAGCAGAGGCTAGGTTGTCGCTCAGCAAATTCAGGATTTGCTGCAGGATCTCTCATTGCCAACCCGGCCCAACAGAGTCCACTGCAGAAACCAGGGACCCACCCACCCAGTCAGCGAGAGAGAGAGAGACTGCATCTCCTTACAGGGATATACAGCGATACACACACATATACAGAGATACACACACATACACAGAGATACAGACAGAGAGATATACACAGACACATACACTCACACAGAGAGATACACACACATACAGAGAGGCACACACATACAGATACACACATACTAAAGATATACACACACATACAGGGTGTCACACAGAGAGACACAGAGACATATAGAGTCACACAGATATATATATATACACGTACATACTCGCAGACAGAAGTATACACACACATAGATATACAGAGAGATACATACAGGGAGACATAGATATACACATGCACTCACACATACAGAGATACAGACACATACACAAACACAAATAGATACACACATAAAAACTTATATCAACACACCCATATAAACACACATAGAGAGAGAGAGAGAGACACACAGATATGCACACATACAGCACCTTGGGAGTTCCTCCCAATATGAAAGGCACTATATTAATGTAAATGTGTCTGTATTGTACAGAGCCATATAAGATTTACACACAGACACAGATACACACACATACAGAGAGGGACACACACAAATATACACACATATATAGAGATATACACACCAGGAGGGAGATACGAACAGAAACAGACGTGGAGACAGAGATGGACACATAAAGAGACACACTTATATGACACACACACACGACTCCCCCCCCCAAAAAAAACTCTGAAAAATCCAAATCAACCTGGGAAACTCTTAACAGGACAAAATGCGCAGAACCCAAGGACACACGACCCTTTACATCATTACACGTGAAAGCAACAGCATCCATCCTCCAGCCTGAACCTGTGGAGTTAAGGGCTGTCCCGGTGGGATATTGACGCTCAGCAATGGTTCGGTTTTGATTAGAGAGTCAACATCCCACATCCACATCGAAACACATTGGTTTCATCATTGGTACCCGATTCCTCTGAGCCTCTGGACACACACACACAGCATTGCAAACACAGCAGAAAGGGAGGGCACTTTGCCTGGGACAGTAATTGCCCTGCCCAGCCCTGCCCAGCCCTGCCGGGCACCAACCTACTCCCCACCCTGCCAGCCTTGCCATCCACCCACCCACCCACCACCACCTACCTACTCCCCACCCTGCCAGCCTTGCCATCCACCCACCCACCCACCCACCTACTCCCCACCCTGCCAGCCTTGCCATCCACCCACCCACCCACCTACCTACTCCCCACCCTGCCAGCCTTGCCATCCACCCACCCACCCACCCACCTACTCCCCACCCTGCCAGCCTTGCCATCCACCCACCCACCCACCTACCTACTCCCCACCCTGCCAGCCTTGCCATCCACCCACCTACCTACTCCCCACCCTGCCAGCCTTGCCATCCACCCACCCACCCACCCACCTACCTACTCCCCACCCTGCCAGCCTTGCCATCCACCCACCCCCACCACCCACCCACCTACTCCCCACCCTGCCAGCCTCCACCCACCCACCCACCCACCTACCTGCCAGGCTGCAGCCGACCCACAGCAGGAGGAGCGGCAGTGCAAGTCGCGGCATTGCGGCAGCCGCACCGCACAACGTCCGTCCGTCCGTCCGTCCACCTCCGTCCTCTGCGCTTTTCGGGAGATGCGGAATTTCCGCGCAGTCGGTGTTTTGCTTCTTCTCTCTCTGTTTTTTTTACGCAGCGCCTGCGCTCCTCGGGAGGTTTACTGGTGCCGCTCTCTGTCCCTCCCTGAGAGGCAGGGCAGGGCAGGGAGGGCAGGCAAGGCAAGGCAAGGCAGGGCAGGATAGGCAGGGCAGCGCAGGGCAGGGAGGGCAAGCAAGGCAAGGCAGGACAGGCAGGGCAGGGCAGCGCAGGGCAGACAGGCAGCGCAGCGCAGGGCAGAGCAGCACTGACTGCCACACTGACCGACTCCACTGCAGTGAGAGGCGTTTACCACATCCGCACAGGCTCCACGCAGCCTCCCATCGCACAGTCACTTTTCAACTCGTGGTGGACCTGTGAGGGATCCGTCCACCCATCGATCTATCGGTTTCCCGAACGTGATCGGCTGTGACAACGCCCCTAATGACACCCACAGGAACCCTCACGTTTGGACGCCGTGGTCGCGTCGCGTCGCGTCGCTCGGTCTCGAAGAGCTTCTTTCACGGAGTCCACACTGTGACTGCGTGGTATTTCGGAGGCAAAACGCGGCATCCAATTGCGCACAGCACAACCGGTCCCTGGTTTGAGTGACCATAATCGGTTCCTTTTTTTTGGGGGGGGTGGGGGGGGAGCGATTATTACTCCCGGAAAGCGATCCGCCAATCCACTGACAACCGGGTTCCTATTTACCGCTGGGTAAACAGTTATCGCAAGGGAACTTGCCTGAAGTTTCGCCCCGTCCGGGAATCGAACCCAGGTCCTCACGCTTGCGAGGCGAGTGCTCTCACCACCACCACTGAGCTGCGGGACTCCAACCTGTAAATTCAGTAAATGATCTGCAATCTCTAAATGTGACCTACAGTCCCTGAATAACCGATCCGTAATCACTGAACATAATTTACAATCGCTGAATTGCAATCTGTAGATACTGCATGTGATACGTAGTCCCCACATCAGGCTTGAAACCACATATCGTCAGTCCGTGCTGACAGTCTAGTGCAGTACTGGGGTGGTTTGGCATTGTCGGCGGTAGATATTAAACCAGGTTCCCGTCTGCCTGCCTGAGTGGACGTTAACGATCCCATGGCACTGTTCAAAAAGCGAAGGGAGTTTCTCAGGGATGTGGGAAAAGAGTTGAAAAGTGACATTAATTAAAAAAAAGGAGCTTCACAGAAGGTGGGCAGAATGGCATCTTTTTATCTGGATGTTATCCTACCTCTCGGTCTGCCTTTGATGCCCCTCACCACCACAGCTTTGCAACATTAAATCCTACTGACGCTTTGAGTTAAACGCGTAAACCAATGTTCTGTTTTAACATTCAATTTGCCTTTTGGATGTTTGTTCGTTTCTTCCGACCCAATGATGAAATCTTCTCTCAATAAACTGCCCAAATAAACTGCCCAACAATATTTCTTGGGATTCAATCGAGAAGATTCAGTAATTAACCAGATTGGAGTCCTGTAGCTCAGTGGTTAGAGCACTCGCTTTGCAAGCGAGAAACCTGAGTTCAATTCCAGGCAGAGGGCGAAACCTTCGGCAAGTTTCCTTACTCCACACAGAGCCTAATAATAATCCCATTCAAAAGCCAAAAAAAATAATAAATTGGTCATTTTCAATCTACGACTGTTTGTGGGACATTGCTGTGCACAATTGGCTGCCGCGTTCGCCCACAAATATACAGTGAATTCACTTTACAGTGTGTTCTGTGAAGCGCTTTGGGACGTCCTCCCGACGTGAAAAGCGCTATATCAAATGCAAGGATTATTATTATTATTATTATTAGATATTCACAGATATCCATGTAAACCATTTGTCTTGATTCACAGTTATTTTCATGGAACCATGTACCAAAATGAGTCGATATGCTTAAATTATTAAACAATCAATAATGTTAAACAGAAAAAGTAATAGTAATCATGGCAAATGGCGATTCACAATAAACCCTTTTGCTCACGGGGTGAAATATATTTATTTAATCAATATCAATATTTTGTAATTTTTCCTTGAAAACTACATATTCCTGATGAGACTAAGTACAAAATCCCTTTAAATCCTTAAAAAAAACCTGTGGAAAATAATCCCCACATGTTAGCCAGGGAAACAGCGGCCAAAACCTTTTCACAACATCCTCTGAATATGTTCTGACGTTTACTCTTCTGTGCCTGAGAAACTCATCCACACATTCATCACATCCAGGCTCGATTATGCTAACTCCCCTCTGCTTGTCCGTCTTCCCAGCTCTTCCCTCCACAGGCTGCAAGTCTGACTCAGCTTTAGTTCTCCGGCACGCTTCTCACCAATGTGCTCACAGAATATTTTTCAAACACTGTCTTATTATTGTCATGTACTTTGACAGCATCGTTACTTGCAATCGTTCGGGAATCCGTTCATAATATTGACCTCTCACCTAATAAAGGTGAAACCATACAGTGTTCCCTGAAAACCCTTTGCAAACCAGTAATCAGGTTTAACCAGACAGTGAGCGGGATTGCTAGCTGGTGACCAGGTGAATCGGCTAACTAGCCAACGACCCGGATTGGGATATTGCTGCGCGCAATTGGCCACTGCTGCGTTTCGCCCACAAAATGCACAGTCACTACATTACAGTATATTCCGTGAAGTGCTTTGAGACATCTCAACAATGAATAGATGTTACTTTTCTTAACATATCTGAGCTCCCAAAAATAGCTACTTTTTTGCAGGAGATGATATTTTGTTCACCGGGTATTTTGTCAAGCCATTTCTTAATAGTCTTATTAACAGTCGCAGTTACACCAATGTTTCATAGGAACTATGTTTGATTTAAATTGCCGCATAGCTGGGAGGGCTAATTTAAACTAGTGGCGAGGGGGGATGGGTATCCCAGGATAAACAATAGATTAGGGAATAGAGGGAAAAGACAAGTGAGAGATATAGAGCAGGTACATGTGGACAATTTCCTCAAATGGTGTACCTAAATGCATGTAGCTTAGGGAATAAGGTTGATGAGCTGCAGGTTCAACTGGCCGTAGGGGGTTACGATGTGGTAGCAGTAACTGAGACATGGCTCAAGCCAGGACAGGAATGGGAGATAAATATTCCAGAGTATAATGTGTTCAGGAAGGATAGAGAAGGAAGAAAAGGAGGAGTGGTGGCAATATTAGTTAAGGATACAATTGTAGCTGTAGAAAGGGATGAGACTCTATAGGGGCCGACAACAGAATCCATCTGGTTAGAGGTCAGAAATAGGAAAGGAGTGGTTACACTGATAGGGGTTTACTATAGATCGCCAGATAGCGGGAGGGAGATAGAGGAGCAGATCTGCAACCAGATCACGGACAGATGTAGGGCGAACAGAGTTGTCATAGTGGGGGATTTCAATTATCCCAATATAGATTGGCAAAATAGCAGCGCTAAGGGCAAGGCAGGAGAAAGATTCATAGACTGTGGACAGGAAAATTTTCTTGAGCAGTATGTCTCCAGTCCTATAAGGAAGGAAGTATTGCTGGATCTTGTCCTAGAACAAAGTACAGTCAAGGGTGAAAATGCTTGACTGGAAAAGAGCTAATTTTGATGGGCTAAAGAGGGACCTAGAGTTGGTGGACTGGCAAGTAAGAATGGCAGGTAAAACGACTCATGAGCAATGGGAGATCTTCAAAGATACGATAGCTCAGGGTCTAAATAGATATATTCCCACAAAAGGGAAATGTGCGACAACCAAGCCGGCCTGGATGACCAGGGATATTCTGTCTCGGATGAAAAAGAAGAAGATGGCGTACGACAATTGGCGGATGCAAGACACTGAGGATAGCAAAGCGCATTACAGAGAATGCAGGAGTGATCTTAAAAGAGTGATAAGACACGCTAAAAGATCGCATGAGAAGAGGTTAGCGGGTAACATAAAGGGGAATCCTAAAATATTTTATAAGCAGATAAAGGAAAAAAGGTTAGTTAAAGGTAGGGTGGGGCCAATCAAAGGCAATGACGGCCATCTTGTTGTGGAGACAGAGGGATGGCTGATGTACTAAACGAGTACTTTGCATCTGTCTTCATAACGGAAACGGATGCCCCAAATGCCACAGTATTGGATGACAGGGTAGAGGACATAGATCAGATTACTATAGACAGAGAGGAAGTTCTGAAAAGATTGACTGGGCTCAAAATTGCTAAGTCACCAGGACCAGATGGGTTTCACCCAAGGTTGCTGTGGGAGATACGGGTTCATATAGCGGAGGCTTTGGCCATTATATTTCAATCGTCGTTGGACACAGGAGTGGTGCCAAGAGACTGGAGAGTGGCTAATGTAACCCCACTCTACAAAAAGGGGCAGAAAGACAAGCCCGGAAATTACAGGCCAGTCAGCCTAACTTCGGGAACATGAGGTAATTAGAGACAGCCAACATGGATTTGTTAAAGGCAAATCTTGCCTAACAAATCTAATAGAATTTTTTGAAGAGGTGACTGCGAGAGTTGATGAGGAAAATGCGGAGGACATTATTTACATGGATTTTAAAAAGGCTTTTGACACAGTACCGCATAAGAGGTTAATAAAAATACTGGAGGCCCACGGTATTAAGGGGACAGTAGCCGTTTGGATTAAGAACTGGCTGAGTGACAGAATGCAGAGGGTGGTGGTTAATGGGTGTTTCTCGCAATCAAAGGAGGTGTGCAGTGGTGTCCCCAAGGGATCGGTATTGGGACCACTGCTCTTTCTAATATATATTAATGATCTGGACTTGGGCATAGAGAGCACTATTTCCAAGTTTGCAGATGATACCAAGTTAGGTAGGGTAGTAAATAGTGAAGAAGATTGTGACGGACTGCAGGCAGACATACACAGAATGGTGGAATGGGCTGACATGTGGCAGATGGATTTCAAGTGCGAGGTGATACACTTAGGTAGGAAAAATGATAAGAGGCAATATAGGCTTGGTAGCTCAATCTTAAGGGGGGTGAACGTACAGAGAGATCTGGGCATTCAAGTAAGCGATTCATTGAAGGTGGCAGAGCAGG